ATATAATATCAATCAAATTGATGAATCGTACAATTCGGAAGCGCTGCTTGTGTTGCGGCGATGGCAGATCCAATCACGGCGAGTGGATGTTCAGGGCGGCCCTCGTAATCTCTGATCGAACGTAAACAACCCTTCAGCCGACATGCCGGGACATGTGGAAAGTGGCTAAATTTAATGTTCTCGAATTTTATTTGTTGTTTACTTACTCAACTCGTAATGGAGTATAGGTATACAAAAGCATTCGTCGTACACATGTGAAATGTGAGTCTGTTATATATTGGCATCTCAACACCTCAATCCATCGTCCTGAAATTTATATATAGTATTTCCGGTGGCTCGGCCTACGTAAATCAGTACAGAAACTATGTGCTAAGTTAGGATATTCTTGTAGGTTAATTCTTTTGAATTCATGATGGGCCAACTGACCTAATATCAGCCTCACCTATCATCCTTTACTGGTGCCCCGGTAGTATATACCAACTGCGTGGACGGCGTAATCATTCCATTATCACCTATTAACCTTCTGACCTTGTATTTTTTTTGCTTCATTTTCGGACATCGCTTTGACAACAAATAGTAGTACGAGTATTTAGTCATCTAGCTAGATTCTGAGAAACAATATCATTCTACCAAAACAAAAATCGTGGGATAAGAACATCAATAAACATAAAAAATGCGAACACGTAGAAATCACGGGAAGTGCAAAACTAAACTAGTAGATACTGCACACGAAAATCGCGCGATACCGGTCAGAGGGTAAAGAAAAAGAAAAAACAAATATTGTCACGCTGGACAGGTGATTTAATATATAGGCTTTCATTTTCAGTTTTTCCTTTCTTGCCCTGTTATATTGTCCATTGTCCTTTGTTCTCTTAGTCTCCTCTCGCAACATTCATATTAGGCAATGTATAGAAACGTTGATAAGTTTTTAGTTTAGTACAAACTTTTGCGATTTTAATTAAATTTACTAACTATTAAAATATTAGTTAAATAAGCTAATACCATTATTTTAATTTAACATTATATTCTATCGCCTCCTACAGGGACCGTTTTTTTTTATGGAGATAAAAAACTATGTAGTCTTTTAAGTTGGAGTAAAATATATATAATTATAAAATTACATTAAAGTTAAAACTGAAATACGAGAATAAACTTCGTGAAACAGAATTTTTAAATTTATTGAAAATAATTATTATTCTGCAATAAGTATCTATCTATCTAAAATATCTCTGACTATATTAGACTTATAATGTATTTTATTAAATCCATGGACCTTTCCTCCTTGCTTGAAATTAAGTACTAATTGCTATCCAATTTGTGCCGACGCTGAGTACCTATATTTCCAGTTCAATTAGTGGGTTCGTATAACGTTATTACATGTAGGTACTTACTAAATGGTTATAATTAATAAAATTGCATTTAATAATCTTCAGGGTGTTAGTGGATGCAGGTGGCTCAGGACCGTTCCTTATCGCAGTCTATGGGCAGGCCTATGTTCAGCAGTGGACGGATAATGGCTAAGATGATGTTGATGATGATGATCTAATAATGTGATAAAATTACCTAAATATATAATTTTACTCTGATTGAATAGTAGATACTGGGAGTCGGAATCTAGAGACTGGGGTCGATTTTTTAATGTTTCTATTTATTTTACGATTTTGATTAAAATTTATTTTTTCTATGGGACCTAAAAAAAAGAATTTTCTAAATCAGTTTACAGACAGAGTTATAAGGTAATAAACATTAAAAAAAAATACATCCGAACTTAGAACCTCCTTAATGGAAATAGTAAGAATTACATTTTTAATAAATTCAATGTAGGATTAAGTTAAATTTAGTTTTTAATGATCTGTAACATAATAGTTCATTTAGGAGATAGGTTCCGACAATCGCTTCTCAGAATCAATCCTACTGTTATTAAAATATTACAACTAGTACACAATAACAATACATAAATAAAAATGTAATTATAGAAATATTTTTAAAGTGATGTTTATTATAGAAGATTCCTGTTAATAGAAAAAACAAAAAAAAAACCTGTGTCCGGAGCAATATAGCATCAGTTTTATCTATTTATTTGCCACCTTGCTTTGTAAAAGTAAATAAAACAAATAGGTATATAATTTGAATATTTTTATTGGTATTTTAGATACTTATCTATGAGTTTGGAATAAAGTCTTCCGAAATTTTTAATCAGATCTGTTCAATAATACTTAAATAAACCTAGGTTAAAGACTAGAAAATTAAAACCCGACATCGGTCTTACATATTCGAATGCCACAAAGCATATTTATTATGACGAAAATGAAAAGGTTATATATATTACAATTTTTTATCAATTTACTGTAGTATGTAAAATATTCTAAACAGCCTCGTGTCGTTGTCCCATGACAGTTATATTTGTTTGTGTTTGATATCATTATCAAATAAATAGATTGATAGTTAATTTCTCAAATTGGCCACATATGCATGATGCACGAATGCTCTAGAATGGAAAATATTTCCACTGTATACCTTATTTATATAGATGGGTATATTTGTATTAAATACATAAACTATTCTTTATTTTCCCGTACTTATAGTACTTAAAAGTTATTTCATTGTATTAGTAAATATTATGTTAATACCTTGGTATTATGCAAGTTCTATTTGACTATTTGGTCGTGACAAAGGTTTAGAATGATTTTTCCACATTTTCCTAGTCTTTTCGTTGCCAAAAACCCAGAAGATTATAGAAATAGCACAATGGTACATCGTGAAAATGTTACTTATATTCATCACGTATGACACATAATTCTTTAACAGTATCACATAAATAAACTTATATAAATCTATAAGTAGTTGCTGGAAGCAAAACATTATAATTAAAATTATTATCACTATAGTAATTCGGAAATTATTCTCAACCGATCGGTTATTGTTTAAAACCGATGTAAGAATCGATGTAAGCATAATCCCATTTGCTGTTAATAGTGGCCACTTTGCTAACAGCAAATAGGCCATTTGAAGGTGCAAATTAATATGAGGTTTAAAATAAACACAAATGTATAAAGTCACAGATACTAGCATAGGCACCGTCCATGCAATTAATGATATTCTTAACACAGTAGGGGGCGTATTGGTGAAAACTTTCACTAAACAATCGTACATATGTACTGTATATACAAACATCCAAGTGACCATCACCATCTCAGAGTAAGTCCTCAGTATGATGTCCACATAAATACCACAATCTACTTCACATAGTTCGTTTAGAAATTTTATATAGCAAACGATAGTGTAAAATGTTCTTGCTAACATGAATTGTGTAAGCAACTGGTTTTTGTAATTTCGTCTCCATTCGGCAAAAAGGATGGCTGTCAGAATCAGAAGTCCGAACGCAGCGACTGATAAGGTCACCCCAATCGTGTTCAATACAAAAGTGAAAATTCCCAGAATCGAAGTTCGATTTTGTGTTAAATTTAGACGTTCATCATCTACCTCTATTTGATCCATTTTGATGTCACTTTCATTTCACTACATTTATCAATAAATTTCTTTTTTCTTTACTCAATGTATATATAATACGTTCGATTAAAAATGTCTGTATTATAGTCACTTTTCATCACGTAACGTTTATTTTTAAATTACTATCTTTTCATTAATCTCTTAACTTGAAAACTGCAGCATTTTTTCTCACACTTATCATAATTTTACAAGCAGAATTTCCCACGTGTATCGGATAAAGCAACTGCGATTGTTTTGGCCTATGTGGGAAATAATTTTGTGCTAAAATTAATAGAAAACAAGATAGTATTATCTGTGCGGCGATAAGATTGCATATTACAATGTAATGTTTGGTTTATGAGAGATATTAATATTAACGTTATTGGTTTTATGATTACCATGGCTCTCTGGGTGGTCATAAATATTTACGAATAGTGCACGGAATAGAAGTATCTATTTTCAACGATAACAGAATCATGTTACGTAGTAAAGAAATGAATATATAATATAGAATGATATATTGCACTATAAATTAAGCTCAATTAATATTATTAAAGAATAAATTATTACAAAAAAAGTATATGAACATTTTATTATGATACTTGAATGGCAAATAAGCTGATGCTCTACCTCGTGGAAAATGGTAACGGTCACCTATAAATATGACCAGCACCATAGATATTACAGAATATACTGTTATACCTATGGTACAACCTTATGCATTGCCATTCATGACGTCTACGGTTATACTTTCGTACTCTGTAATTTTACTGTTATAATTTACCCTTCAATATGAAAGCACAGTTTTTTCACAGCTTATATACGAGTAGGACAGAGGTACCCATGCAGAACACAATTATACAAAGTCTCTCTCTGGTGAAGACCTCTATATATAACATTGAATTATCTGTAGTTACACAGTGAATTCAGCTGCTAAAATGAGCATCTCATTTTGTCTTTTACAAATATTTAAAAGAATGCTAATGATTTCAATTTAACTGTATATTCACATTTTATCTGTATTTAAATTTAAGCTAGTTTAAGATATTGTATATCGTCAATACGCTACAAGACTTAAACTTTGTTGAAACCGAGCGAAGTAGTGCTTCGGTACTGAAATCTTATTTTTTATTAGTTTTTTTGCTCGCTACTTTTTACACGTGGATTTTAGAAGGAAGAAACTAGTATATGAGATGATTTCAAGATGGCGTTTCGAAATAAAATATACACTAGTCTTTAATTTAGACATTTAGGAATACAACAGTGAAAACCGCGTTTAATTTGGTGTAATAGTATTTGTGTGATCCTGGGATAAACACACAGACAAATAAATTTTCTAAAAATTGTTATTGTTATGATTTTTATTGCTTTCATTAAGACTCCCATGATATGTTTTTTTCTTTTTCTTAATTATCCAAGTACAGATATGACAATTTTATACTATGATAAGTAGTATAAATTGAAGACACAGGAAACGTTTTATAAGGTTATAAATTAAAAACATATTAAGAAACACAGAGAATATATTTCCAGATATACCACGATAGGTCAAAAATAAAACTCACGTAAGTGAGGTTTAAGAAACGATAAATATATAAAATTCTATACAAATAGTTAACAAGGTGACAGTGTCTAACGATTATAATAACTTATTGCATACCCAATTTGAAGACAAAACTTTTGAATATGTCTGTGTAAATAGTATGAATTTATATTAATCTCAATTCTCATTTAAAAAATGTAATGAAATATTTGATTTGACAACCATTAAATACATTGCATTTTATGGTACTTTGTTTTTAATTTCAAGAGTTCTATCTTCAAATGCAAACATTGAATTCTCTTTTATATTTATTTTTTAAGTGTAAATAGGTATTTGAGAAAGTTTAGAAGCGTGATTACATCGATCGTGTATCTAAATGTGTTTGTAATTCGTTTCCAGCAAGAGAATTCAATTTTAAACTATAAATACTTAGCTACAAGTAAGTGCAACTACTTATGAAATATTATTGCATGTTCTAGTCAACGTCTAATACCAACATTAAGTTCAAAACTCTACGCGTTAAGTTTTATAACGTATATTCCTACTAGCAGTTGCTTTTTGATAATATTTTAATTAAGACGATATTGTAGCGTTAACTTAACAAGACTAAATTCAAAATGTTTACACTTTGTACTTTTTGCAAATTAATGTTTACTTAAACAATATCTAAAAACAAGAGTAAAATGAGATAATAAAAATATTAAATACAATAATTGGTGTATCTTAATATTACAATTCTATTTGTAAGCCTTGTCTAATATTGTAATATAAAATTTACTGTTTACAAAAAATGTACTCAAAGTGTTTTTAACCCATTCATGAATAAAATGATAATAACTCACCTATTTTAGTACAAGTGGTTTGTTTTTAATAACAATCAAATCTCACAATGAAACAAGTTAAATATAGCTGCTCTACTTTTTTAAGCAAGTTGAACATTGTCACTTATCACACAAGCTTAGTGTTACTTACATGAATTTACGACATTCAAATGAAACACGTAAAGTAATTAATTACTTCAACCAGACAATTATAAAATATTATTAGAATTAGACAATTATGATATTAATAATATACTTCTAGTTAATCGTAAGGATTATTTTGAATAATGCATGTACTTATATAGAAGTCTTTATAAGGGATCACAGTTTGGAAAATACTAGTTCGATACATAGGGGACAATATACTCGTACCTACGCCTAATTTCTTTAAGAAATATGTGTAATATTAAACCTCTAAATTGTTATAATTAATTACTATATTTTATTTATCGTAGTAAAAAGATAAGTAATTATATAACAATAATTATAATTATAAAAATCATTTTTGTAGCGAAATAAAATATTACATTGTTGACTAGAATAAGATAATGTGAAAAAATCTACCGTTACCTTATACTCCTACCACGTTCTCTATAATATTAACAGAATAAATTTGAAAATTAAAATTTTGTGTTCAACTAGGTTCTTAAATATTTTTAGAGGCGGTGGGGGTCGGTATACCTCAGGTAATTTGGCAATAAACCATATTCGTGCTAAATTATTGCACGTATCTACTCGAAATATATCTATAATACTATTAATATTACTGTTTATTACTCGTATATTAACACTATTTACTATAGTTTGGTAAGTGGAATCGGCCGATTGACTAGCAACTAGATATTTGGTTTCTACTTTTACAAGAGGTGGATAAAAAAGCCAGCTCGATACTTCAAAACCTTTATTTACTCGAGCGATCCACTCATTCATTCAACGACTGAAATCTGACTATAGTATATATAGAAGTGTCTGCAATCAGCTTCTTTTAATAAACTTGTTACACCCTGTAGGTTACCTATAGAGGATACGGGGATAACATTTGTTATATTTGAGTTCATAAATAGATCAATTTCGTATTTAATTTATGTTTTTGAGAATTAGAATATTATTCATAACCCATTCTGTTACATGCCTCTAATTATGCATTATTTGTGGTAATAGTAGATTTTTTTTCTAATTTAAGTTTTATAGACTAAAGGAGAATCCTTTACCGAGCAGTGGGGTATGACTATGTGCTGTGTATATATTTGTATAATTTATTATACAGTGTAGATGTACATTATTTTCTCTAAATGTAACTCTACTTAAAAATATTTAGAATATTTCTATCTTAAATAAGAGTGAACAATATTACAGTAGACTAACATAAGCAGGGACCAGTTTCCGAGTATTGTTTAATTTTACACTATGTTTTTGCTAATATCAATATTTTATTTTGAAATCGCGTAATTACTAGGATTTCAGGCTTGTAATTCATTACAAAAAATGCGTTTAAAATTGTCACAAATCTAGTGATACGATTTTTTTTAATAGTGACGATAACGTACTCAATTCTAGTTAGATTGTGTCTATTATAGTCAAAGTATTTTGTCAGTAGGTTACAGATAACTGTGTTTAATTATTTTATAAAGTATAATATGAAAAGAGAGTAGCTTTACTAAAAATGCCTGCTGGCCCTTTAATATGTTATATTGTAAATATAATTATTATTTTACGGTGAAATTACATTTAAATCTATCTGTTGCTAAGTATTATTCTATTAACATTACCAAAGTCTGTTTTAAAAACTTTGTCTTATGATTTCTCGCGATATATTAAAATCTATTGTTTTGTAAAGGAAATATACAAAATCTATAGTTAATTTTGTATTCATTTGTTGTCTTTTTTTTAATCCGGGATTGCGTATCGACAAGTTTTAAACTTTTAACATGTTTTCCTAGTGAATACGCGGTTACTGATATTTATATAACAAGCATTTTGTTTATTGTACATTTTGATCTAATTATACGCCATAAATTTTTTATAATTGCATTTTTGATTGGAATATATAGCTCATATATTTCTAATATATTGTTAGATAAATGTACAAGAGAGCTCGGAATTACACTATTATTTATTTATATTCATAAATAGACCTCTCAAAATATTTATTTTGATTCAATTACTAGTACTTTTAGTGTTATTATTGTAATTCCATAGAAACTGGTACCCTGAAATTAAAAGCTACATCTAGAAGATCACATTGCGTATAGGCTGGAGATTTAAGAATACTTTTTAAGTATATTTACAATATTATAGATTCACTTATTACAAAGCAATTCGACATCTAAGATTATGTTTATAGTGGCCATTGAATAGATCTACGAACTGTATGAATATGCTACATAGATAACTAAAATAAAATACTCTCAAAGTATGACTCTGTAAATAAAATACCTACATAATGACACAATACTAATGGGAACTGACTACCTAGACAATTTATTGAATATGTTCTAAATATCAGAAGTAGTTAAATTAATTAGAACTATTTATTAAAGAAATAAAATTTAATATACTAACTTAACAATAATTTAAGATTGGAAATAATTTTAATAATAGTTTATATACTACAATTAGTTGAAAGAATTATAATAAACATTTATTAAAGTGATCTATTAGAAAATGAGATTTTAATATGTTTTTATTTGTATATTTATTATTTTAATAACAGTATACAACAATATACAACATAATATACATACATACAAATTATCAATAAAATGATAAAAATAACAACCGTAATTTGTGATTAAACGATATCGAAACCTAATACGATAATTTGAGACCCGCTCATTAAAATAATTTATAGAATTAAACTAATGAAACCTCATTAAATTTTATACACCGCAGGCACAAAAATAAACGTATTTTGCCGCGTAATCGTACCAATAAGGTTGACGCTACAAAATATTATTCTTACAACATCATGAATGAATTAATCACTTATAATAAAATTAATTTATTTAATTTTAATATTACTCGATTCTTCACTCTACCATGTGTTCTGTAAACGAAAATCAAATGATTATCAAATTAATTATAAATAATAATAATAATTAAATTTAATTAATTAATTAAATTTATACTTAATCAACTTTCAAAAGACTCCTTTTTTTGAAATTGTTCTAAATTTTTTTCAATTGTGTAAATCAGAAATTATTTAAATAAAGTGTCTCCAAATAAATATTTTGCTAAAACCTGTTCAGGGAAATTTTAAATCCAATTACTTGCAACACAGAAAAAATGACGCGTTTTGTTTTGTTTAAAAGAAATTTGTGTCAAAATTTAGACAGCTAAATGTCAATTTAGCTGACGAAATTTCGGCTTGTTTTTGACACTCGATGCTGTATCTATATAATCTAAGTTTGCAACTATAGGTATTTCGCAATTATTGTAAACTCTAAATTAATTTTTAAAATTTTTTGTTGTTGTGTGTGTATGTGTATATATATAAAACACATATGTGTTTTTGTGTGCGGAACAAAATTTTGTGATACAATAAAAAGTCCTGTGTATTTTTGTGTTTGTGTATGTTTTAACTTATGAAAATAATGCCTTACCTTGTTCTTCTACTGGTGTATGTTCTTCGTCTGAAGAATCGAATTTACTTTCAATCAACGAGCTTTGCTTTGATAATGACTGCAAGAAAACAATAAAATGGTAAATAATAATAAATATTTTTAGGACTAAATTAATTTGTAAAATAAAACTTTCTTACATTAATCAAGGTCTTATTTCTAGTCTTTATAAGTCTTCGTATTATTGTGATATTTTTTAAACTAGGTATTAATAATAACATAAAAATGATGTTTATGTCATTGTAGTTTTATAAAAATATATTTTTTTGTATGACTTTAGTTTAATAGTAGCTAGTTCAATTCTCATATAGTGCATGTGTCTATAATTTATTTATTTATGAAAATGAAAGGCTGGGTGTTATTTGTATATATAATTATATATATCCCGACTTCATTCTTGTAATCGGAATATATTCTGAGTCCCGGGTAAAAAGGAGCCTTTACTATATTATATACTTACAAAATTTATTAATAATTAGATAAGCCATTAAGGCGCGTAGAGGTAGGAAATCGGTACCGATCCGATATCTATATATATATTTTTTACAACACAGGGGGCAAACGAGCATGCGGCGCACCTGATGGTAAGTGACTATATATATATTAAGTTTTCTGGACATTAATTGCGGAAAAAAGGTCATCATTTATTTCTATTCATTTCTGCCGGGTTCTTCATTTCGATATTATACTTATATAGGATTATCAATGTATCCGATATTGTCCAATATATAGGTATTGTAACTACAATATATAGATATTGCTGTATACTCATATTACATTAATAAGAATACGTGAATAGGGGTAACCCTACTAAGAGGTAACAAACAAAACTCATTTTCACATTCATAATATTAGCAAGGATACATATGGTGCCTTGTAGTGAAACTTCTGAAACCTTACAAATATATCTCTCTGTCAGGTCAACATCGACGCGGTTCCTCCAGAAAACCATCCTGGAAACTTCCAAGTAAATTTGTCATATGAGCCAACTAATTGTTGAACTCATGATGGTTACCAACTGACCTGACTTCATCTTCACCTACCATTTTCATCATCAGCGTTTACCGATAGCACAGGCGGGGTTTCCATTTTCATCTGTGAGAAAACTTACAAATATATTACCTTGTTGGAACGTCGCCTTGGTGGTGATATCTTATTCCACAACGCTTCTAACTGGTCGAAGTGTTGTGACTGAGCTATTGCCGCCTCTTCTGGGCCCAAGCTCACCTGAGCCATAAAGAAATATATCGATTACTAGTGATCGACTCCACTTTCACACGGATTGATGGTTGCAATTATTGTAGGGATACAGATCATGTTACTTGCAAATAATGTGGTTTTGTATAGGCGAGATAATTTTTAAAATCGGTTAAATATTTTTTTAAGTGAAAGAACCCACTACAAGCAAAAAAGTTGCATCGTTTGTATGTTTTATTATAGTATTTGTTCTTGTATTTATACTTTCGTTGGTAAGCGTATTGGGAAACAGTACAATTTACCTAGTCGATTAAAAAAAAATGTATTTGTGAATTAATCTTTATTCGGATTGATTCGTAAAAAAATATGTATTGTAACATTTGTAACTCATTCGTGACGATTACCTAACTAGAATTCTATATTTCTTGTAGTTTAATAAAGAAGAAATTTATACTGCAAAAATTATGATGATGTGATATACGAATAAGAGGCCAGATATAAATTATAAGACTGGCTTCATGATTTATATCTAACGGTCACAAAATGTAATATATTTTTACGGAGGGACATAAATTATAAAGAACATACAACCTATAAGTTACATACTCTCTTCCATTTAACTATGAAACTTTAAACAGTAAGAGATTGAAATAATAATAAATATAGTCGATGGAAAGGGATACTCGTATTGTATTTGGTACCTGTGAGCCGAGATCTTTATTTTTTGCTTCCTGTATCTTTGAGATTTCTTCCATAGAAGCGGACACTGAGAATCTAGAAATAAAATAGCAATTTAAATACTTTAATATAATAACTATCTGTTTAACTTACGTGTAATAAGATCGAGAAAGCTCGACTAGTTTCAGTTAGGCTAGCGCTGGCATCATAACTGCTCATGATTAAGGATCACGAATTGACCCCGAAACTAGTCGGGCTTTCTCGATCTAGTTACACCTAAGTTAAACCTAAGTTACAATTTAAATATTCGTCCCCCGTCCCCCCTTTATTTTATTATAAAAAATTAGGTCTACTGGCTGTTTTTAGTCTTTAACATATTTTGTTACACGCTAGTAATTTTTAATGTGGGCAACTAAATTTTCATTTATTATTTTCCGCAGCGTTGCCCACGAGCGTCAGTATACAAAGTATGCTGTGTGTTAAGTTAGAATATAATCTACCCGTGTACCAAAGTTCATTTAAATTCGTTCAACCGTTGCAGGGTGATTAAGAAACAAACATACAAATATTTTTACAAAGTTTGACATTTATAAAAATATTAAAAATTTTAGGATTATAAATAGAATATATAATAGAATTGCTGGACACTTCTTTCAATTATTTAATTTAATTTATTTAAGAACTTCATTACTCATGAAGTTCTTTAGTTAGTAACATGCACACAATCGATAATGGGAACTTCATTGTCTTTGAAATCCGTTAAATATCAATTTATGTGAATAAGTAAGTCACTGATACGTTAAAAGGAGTTATAGTTCTTATATAAATTCAAATTAACTTAAATAAATTCAGAGCAACATTCAGGACATACCTTCTCTTCAAACGTTCGTCGACTTGCGCCATCATAGCGGCAGACGTTAGGTGACCATATTTCTTCTGCCACGTGTATGTATCCAACGACACTTCCTTCTTGAGGAGCCTCCTCATCGGTCTCTTTGGAGCCAATGGTCGTAATTCTAATAATAGAAAAAAAAATCAGTTTAGAACTAAGGCCTACGGTGTTATTCTAAATTTGAAAATTATTTAATTCATAAAGTTTATAATTAGTAATATATAGTAGTTTGTTTGTTATTACAAATATAATAATTAAAAGAGTAATTATATCAACAGCGAATTGTAATTTATTGTACAAATAAGTTTGTTTAAAAACAATTACTTATAATGTAATTCGCCATCTTATAGTAGCGGACATTTTGACAGTGTTATATATTGTATTGTCAGCAAAATTAAAGGCATGTACAATTTTAGCAAAATCTTAAGATTTGACTTAAACAATCTAACATATATTGTAAGTTAAATAAAAGCTTGTAAAAAGTGTTTACTAAATAATATGTAAACGTACCGTCTGCATCTTTAGTAGGTGCAGCGTAAGTTGGAATTTTGACGTACGTAGCTGGAGTATTGTGTAGACAAATAATTGGTAGGCATCCTGTAACAATCATAAATTAGGTTTTGGATATTACTGGGCGTAAACGATAATTAAAGAACGAATGTACTATTGTGTGAGATTCTTCATAAATCATAGAAGTGATACAACGTAAATCATACAGAAGCTTGAGCACTTCGAATATTTTTTTTATTAAGACAATGAAGAGTTGTTGGATAGTTATTACAGTTAGGAATATACACTTGTAATTTATATTTCTACCAGCAGATCGTTTGATTTTATTATTATTTGTGCATGGCTGTAAAAATATACAATCATTTACCCGATTACATTAGAAAGTTAAATATAAATATTGATTTAAAAATAGTCTACGTAACTCGTTATTAAATAAATATAATTATTCGACGAAGGAATATTAAAAAGAGAAAATAAGTACGTGATATAAATATGACATATTAATTTTTTTGCAATGTTTTTGTTTAATTGTTATAATATTTAATATTTTTTGTGACTTCATGTATAAACAGGTAATTAAATTACAAAACTGCAAAACATGATTTGAGATATTTATTATTATTTAAGATAATTTTGTAATAAATAAATTAATTGAATCAAAAATTTTTATACAATGTAGAATGAATTTAGAATAACCTTTTTTTAGTATTTTAAATTAAATTTTAAGTTATTTACTAGAAATTGCGTCCTTTACCAACATCAGGTACTTTTATTGCCGACGTTAGTTTCATAGTAGTTTTATAAGACCGTAATTAGATTAATTTTGTGCACATATTATGTAAAAATTACCATTCAGATATTGATGTAATATGGTGTCTGAATAATTAAGGGCTTGATTCAAAATGTAGATTAGTTTTACTGCAAGAAAATTATTAAATTGCAAGGAAAAATTCAAAATTCGCTACGCGAAGGAGCTTCGAATTGTAACCTTGTATAAGACACTCTTCACTTGTAAAGTCAAATTTTATGTTGTAGACCTATCGATTTCAGCTATGAGTATTATTTATAAATCATTCCAATAGATTAATTAAATTAATATTGAAGATATATCTCCCAAGCAAATATTCCATATTCATAAGCATCTATCGACAATGAGTTATTTATTCTTCATGAGTACTAGGAAAGCAGAGATTTATAGGCGATGATAATTTATGACTTACTATAGGCTCTTAGTAGTATTAATTCGAGAATATACGTGATTATTTAGAGACATTTTGTCTGCTTACTAATAAGTTGATTATACAAACCGTATTTTCATATATTTTATCTTCTGAAAAACAATTATACCTATAGCTAATTATTTCTCTCTAGCTCTTTGCGTTTCCATTTTGTAATACATAATTCAGCTTTCGAGTTGGCAAAGTAAGTAACTGGTTTATTTTAATATTTCTTTCAACATTTAATACTGTACTTAAAATAGCATTTGAATCAAGACAATTATACAACATACCTCTATCCAAAAGATGTACGACAATACGGGCGCAATCACTTGTGATCTGGAAACCCAGTATGGGTACGTGTAATGCTAGGGATGTCAATGCCAGCCCTCGTTTCGTCTCCCATATAATAAGCGTTTTATCTTCCGCACCTTGTTAGAAACAATGGCAATTAAAATTTAATTAATACAATATTTAATTAATTTTAAATTATAGATGGAAAATGAATTGATACAATGAAATTAGAGAAAGATTTTTATTTCACAAGATTCTATTTCAATATAAATGTAAACAATCTAATATTTAGTTTTATTATAATACGCTCTACTGATGTTCAATATATACTGATTTATCTTTCGAATTGTTACTAATTTTATTAAGAGGTTATAAATTGTGGAAACGTATTGCTTAACTAGAAATTTTCAAGTTCACTTACCGGATACAGCTATAGTACCGTCTCCGGTCACTTTAACGCACGTGACTTTGCCCAAATGACCGGAGAGCAGATGGAGATCGGATCCTGTGTTGATGTCCCAAACTATGAGATTGCAGTCCCATGAACCTGACACCACTTGAGTTTTATTCGTGATGGAGACTGCTACGCACGTTACTATATCAGAATGTCCGACGAGAACCTTTCATGAGGAAGAAAATGAAGTGTTTTAGAAGAAACCTAAGAGGACACAAAAAATCTAGTGTTATCCATAGATGATATTAATTTTGTAAAATATTTAATGGTTGTATATTTAATATACAAGGATATAATTAGTTGATATAACAAAAACATAATGAATGTAATAGTAATGCAATATGCGATTAAAATTAAAAATACAGTAAGGCTAGAGCCATGCTATTACGTCTCGTTCGCAGTCACATTTCGATTTGGTAAAATATCAAATAGAAACACTTCGAGATTGCTAATGACTGAAATTGAATTGTTACAGATAGTATGAATAGTCCTTAGAACGTAGTACTTTATATTAATTCTATGGAGTAGATACATTGTACGTGATGACACTATAGTGTGAATCTAGCCTAACGGTTCTATTTTGACTTTGGCAACAGATTGCAGACAATAGAAATAACACCACTGGCAGCAATAGTCTAAATTGCTGTTTGCAGATATTGTTACGACCAGTCAGTCATGTACAGTTTGTGATTATAATGAATTCTGAACATTGTCTCTGAACTCATATGAGGAGCTTCTAGTGATAAATTTCTAGACCATGTTTAATTTACACCAAAGTCTATGACGCAGTTGGAAGCAAAAATAATTTTGTAAATGAATTAAACATGAATTTGAAAATTTAGAGTTTTAGATTAGAATTTGATCTTGGTATCTCTGAACCGTAGTTCAGTGTGACTGAGACTGTGTATGGTAATAAATTTTCAATGGCTTTAAGGATATTTGTAGCAAGACTACGTACGTACGTACGTAAATGTAATACTGGTACATTTACAATTAGTTTCCTACAAATATTTAGAAAATAGTCGCCTGTGGTTGATTTATCGGTTTCATTGCTATTACCGTTTACAGTTTACTTTATTCCTAATTCAAGCAGCTTGATGACATCACAAAGGTCACGATGCTATCTGCCAAATAGAAATAGCACCAAAAAATCAACAAACCTGTGATAGCTTGCCACCGTCCAGTTTCCAGACCTTGAGTGACATGTCCATAGATCCGGTGACAACGTGTTGTGAGTCAGCTGTGAGGGCGAAGCAGGTGATCCTCTCCGCGTGGGAGACGGAGCGTTTTTCTTCTCCACTGTCGCCTGTCAGAGTCCAAATACGGACTGAGTTGTCACCATCTGATAGCACCTGCAATTATTTTGAAATTAGAACAACTTGTAACAATCTTTACAAAAAAATTAATACTAATTTTTTTTATGCACAAAGAGTGAGTTAATATGGTGACTTATGATGCAATCGAAATGAAATCAAGTCGAAATGGCATGCATGAAACAGACATAAAATGTAAAGACAGTTTTTTTTATTTATGAAAGGTGATTTTTATTTTCATTCCAACTTGACTATTTGAAAAGCCACCAGGAATAGGTAAAGGAATTTTTGAATCTTTGTATTTTACACAATTTGAATTTCTTTCTAATAAAAAAACTTAAAAATTAACTTAACTTAATTAAATTAACTTTTTTTATCAAATGGAGTGTATAAAATAAACTTACGGAGTACTTCATATTCAGCGTAATGTCTAAACTGGCGCTAGGTCCGGTAGTGGAATGCAGTACTATGCCAGAGTCCACGAGCCATACGTGCACGTTACGGGCGCGATCGCCGGACATGGCGCGTCGACCGTCCGACATCATTAAGAGGGACTGTAGGGCGGCTGAGTGGCCCTATATATAAAAAAAAATTACAAGCTATGGAGATATAACTTGTGATATTCCTCAGGAATGGCAATTTATGAAGGGGGCTGTAGACATCAAAGTGTGATGTCTATGGTGTCTATAGACGACGGTTACCACTTTTCATTAGGTTTGTCTTGTTTGCAGTTCTAAGTAATAGCACAGGAAAAATAAAAGTAGAAAAAATTGCTACAAACTTGAAACTAGTATAGTCATTCATTAAGTTAAGATGACTTGGTAAAAAAGGTTCACCTCGGAAAGTGAGGCTAAAGGGGTATTTTAAGGGTTCAAAAGTAAAACATAAAAACAGTTTTTTACGAATTATTCTAAAACTTAATGAATTGAACAATATTTAAAGAGATAGTATAACTGAAGTAATCCTGTATAATTTGGTATCTGTTTTAACTCTTTATTTGAAAAGTTGTCTAAAATATGATAATTTGATAGGGTGTTTTTAAGCTCTATAAAGTGTTGGCCAAATATTGTACCGTGCGCGTATGATTTCTTTTTCAGTTGATGTTGTTTTAAAAGTACCATATCTTCGACATTATTAAAAAAAATCTAACACTACTTTGAAGCATAAACATTAGACTTTATAATAAATATTAATAGGGATTCTATGTTACAGAAGTGAAGATATATTTAAGTTTTAGAAAATTAAATATATCTTTAATTGAAAAATAAATCTTTTAATGGTAAGTAGAGATTTTAATGATTTAATTTTGTTAAAGATAATTATATATAATTAATAATTTATATGGATATAATTCTATACGGAAGACATAATTTATATAAAATGTTACGAGTCTAAATATATAACGCTTTTAATTAATTTTCACTTATTGTCCGCTATTTTGAATAATGTTCATGTTGTGAACGGTACTTTACACTTACGTTACAGTTGTCTACTTACACTTCTCTAAAATGATTTCAAAAAAATAATTACCTTGTAAGTTAACGAGGGCGAGTTATCAGCGAGTTGCCATACCACCACCTTCCTGTCCTCTGAACCACTCAGTACTAGTAGGTTATTTGGTGAGAAGGTAACACATGTTATGTGTCCTAAGTGGCCATTGAGTGTAGTCTGTAGTCTATGGGTTGAGAGCTGCCACACTCGGACTAATCCTCGGGCACACCCACTAGCAGCTAGCTGGCCATCGCGAGATACTTCCAAACAACTTATTGGTATTAATTCGCTTTGTTCTGCCTGTATAGAAAATTTTACATAGTTTCCTAACATGTTATAATTTAAGAGAACGCTTTGAATAAAACTAATAACTTCTGAATTACTTGTGAATTCAAATTACTATTTTGAATTAACCGATTACAAGACGTTGTCTTGTTAAGAGCTATGCGTGTGACATTAATATTATTTTGAAACGTTTGTGTGGCGGAAAATGGGAACTTTTCCTTTACTTCACAAAATTTAAAAAAAAATTGTCATCATAATAATTTTACTTGGATTTCAAAGAATATTTAAAAAAAATTGCGGTTCATTTTTATTTACATTAATATCAATATCAATTATTTCTGAATTTTGACAAGCAAAGTAGAAGTTAACAATTTTACAATAGATAAGTGTTGTTATTATATTGAAACGCCATGTTAAAACAGTATTTTAGTAGCTTATAATAATAGAAATTATATGTTATTGTATTGTGACAAAATAACGATAGAAAATTACCTGTAATAGTGTAATATTCGTTGTAGATTTCGTTTGCCGCCTTTTTATTTGTTTCGTCGGCCTGAAGTTTGTTAAGTTGTCTTCAGTGTGGAATGAATAAATCGTTACCCGATTGCCACCTAAAATCCAATTGAACACGTTTTTATTCTCATCATTGCTTTTGTAATTTATATAAAATTTTATGATTGAATTTTTACTAACTACAGCTTTTTTACACATTACAGCAAAAAGTACTTATAGGGACTAGATAGAAAAGATACTATATCTATATCTTTTCTATCTTAAATATCTGAAATACTGAATAAATTCTTCTAAAAAAGACGTAGTAAAATTATTAACGCGAAAATTTGTAAAGATATTTGAATACTGTAAAATCAAGAATTTCGTAACCTTTTAAATGTTTAGGTTAAATTTTTTTCTGTTACTATACTTTTAATGTTTATTTATTAGAGTAATGTAAATTTTATAAACCAAGCGATTATTGGATCTACGTATTTATTATAAAACCTCAAGAGCCGCTGGGAAAATAATTTTGTTCCATAAATATGTACTTACTAGTAGGGCTTCCGTTTGGTATATCTTTTAATTCTAACCTTTAATAATATAAAATGTTATTGAAAGTAACAACTATATAATAAATACAAATTATGAAACATTACCAGCAGCTAATAGGAAGTGGTCTCTATCAGCAACAGCTAACGCGGCGAGATCGTGAGCAGCCGCCAAAGTGCGTAGTAGCTGTCCATCATGCAAACCGTACACGTAGATTCGCTGGTCAGCGCAGCCAACCGCCGCCCGGGATGAGTCGTGAGCCACGCAGAAACATTTCACCTAACAAATATATAGTAATTTATTTTATAGCAAAAGTGGATATTACATAAATAATAAATTACTACCACTATATCATCATCATACCAGCTTTTAACTATATATATATATATATATATATATATATATATATATAATCTATACTAAGAGTATAGATTTGAATGTTTGTTTATAATGGATAAACTTAAACTATTTAATCGGTTTAAAAAAATTATCCGTAGAAAGCTACACTATCAGCGAGTAACATAGGCTACATATTATTTTCGAAAATTCTATTTACCCATATGTAGCCAGGCCGAATCGCTAGAATATATAAAAAAGAACAAAAACAACTTCATGTGAATTTGATATAATCATATGGCCTTATATGAATGACTATAATTTAAGGCTACTTTTAGTAAGAACACAAATTTCTTAACTAAAGTTCGTTGCTTTTGTAAAATTTACACAAATGAAATTATTACATTAATAACTATTAAAATTTAACAGACAAGTAGTAGTTAACAGACAAGTATTTTTTTTTATTTCAGTAATTTTTAAAATATTTTCAAGGGTATAATAACTCTCTTATATAAATATTTTTATTAATATTATTATATAAAAGATACTAGGTAGTTGTAACACGGAGCATAAGCAAAAGGAATCCACCGAAAATGTAACTAAAAGACAACAACAACAAGTTATAAAACTACATTAAAAAGCCTTCACAACATAGTTTCTTTGAAATTTATCACAGAGGATGTATTAGAAAACTTTACCATCATGTTCAAACAACTTTCAAAACTAAAAACGTTATTTCACTCTCACGTCTTCTGACAGCGGCAGTTAGCACAGTTTCCGATAAATGGAATGAGAAAAGGCGAGGTCTTCAAGCACTTACTGGAAATCGGCTGTAATTTATTTCTTCTAGTATCGTATAAATAAGAGCCAAAGCAATTTACCGATCCCCAATTACCTCGCCGAAAGGGTCGAGAAGCTACATCTTTTCAGTCACATTTCCTATGTTTCAAATAAGTTTCAAGTAAGTATTCAATAGATTTTGACGGAAAAATAATATTTTTCCTCAACGTTAGATACAAGTGTGATGATATGAGATATAATTACAAATCAGCGAGATATAAGATTAACGTGATTTCGAAGTAACCTAACAAAAAGGTTCGATGAAAAAGTTTTGGACAAAGTTATATTAGATAATGCCAATTCATTGATATACTATTGGTAGCAAACTAATTGATTTTATTAAACTATCGAAGCAATATATTGTTTTGAAATGGTATAGTGTATGCCTAAGGTTGAACCAGTATAACTAATGTTTTTTTTTTTTTATTATATTTGAAACATGTATATAATTTATGAAGAAGAAAGATTAAACTTATACAAGAATTCGATGTAGCAGGAAAGCATCTCGAGAAAGGGATTTTGTATCTCCAAAGTTAAAATTATTTCATTTTAGGCCTCACTTTGTAACTTGATTATAAATTATATAAAATTTACGATTTTCAATATTTATAAACCTGCTTTATCTTAATTTACATTTTGACTACCTGGTAAAATATAATGTAAAAGTTTGTGAAGATATCTGAAAATTTATTGTTCATAAGAAATGGATTTTGATTATTAAATTTGGTACGAAGATAAGTCTAAAAAGGACATAAGACTTTATAATAATGGATTCTATAAGATAATGATAATGAATATCGCGAATATAATGAAAAATAACAGACAAAGTCGCGGAAGTAGTAGAGTCGCATAGTTAACGAAACTATGTATAAAAGTAAGTCGCATGCAATGTGTACCTATATCAAACCGTCTAAATTAAAACCAGTGATAGAGTAGGATTAGTAAGAGACATTAACGTTCAGTTTCGTCACTATCTCTCACGTACGTTACTATCTCTTTAATCCCAAAGGCTTCGGAGAGTGGTTGAGACTAGTACTACTTAATTACAAATTTCAGCAATAGATTTTCTCTCTATTCGATTTCCTTATCAGGTTATCTAATATTGATGGGAACGTTTTATAATCAAACTTTGAATATTCACTGACGTCACATTATATGAACGGATTAGTTGCGGTTATTTTTAATTAACTAAGATAAAATATATAATAAGATAAACTAATTATATAACAAAATATTTATTTCATTTATAAATTAATTTTGTTAGAACAATGCACCGTCTCTCTGTTTAGCGTAACTATTGACTGGTAAAGAAGAATACTATCAGGTATTAAGTCCGCTCTGTAGACATATTTTCATGTGTGTAAAGGTATAAATAAATAGTAAATTAATTAATTATACGCCGACATTGCGAATGGTATTAGTTCGTCTCGGTTGTTAAGAGTAAAAATGTCAATATTAATTAAGATTTATGTGTGTTTTTTTAATTATCATTATAACGTATTATATAATAAATAGAAGTGAATAAGTAATATCACCAATAGCATCTCATTTCATCCAGCAAGTCACGTTAGAGCTCTTCATATATAACGAATGAGTAATCTTGAAATTCTTGATATCACAGAACTATTCGTGTTCTGTGATAGTGATGTGTACGCAGGCGAATTTAAATGTAACTTTATAAATTAACAGTATGATTTCATTAGTATATTAGTAGTATCAGTTGTTATCTATTGCTGCACATAAGCCTTCCCCATGAGGGGAGACTACAATTGTCAACCTGCCATACTTGGCAGGTTGACAATTGTAGTTAGGCTTTTAGAGATATTTTAAGAGGGAGTCTGCTGCTGATCCCTCGACCATTAAGTTCTTTTAGTCATCTCTTACGATACCAATGGGAAAGAAAAGGGTGACCTATTCGATTTCCGGGATCACACGGCAAATTAACATTATAATGAAATGTTATTAGTTTATCATAATAAGCATTCAGCTATATAAAGCTCGATAAGTTCAACAGCTATTAATTCGAAAAAAGCTCTGTTACATCTCTATTTTCCATTATCTCTAATTAAAACATTTTTATCTGAACATTCAAACGACGTTCATTAGAAAACTTTGATGCTATTTCGTGCTCAGCAGCTAACAAAGAACCATCATTTATCATGTAGCTTTAAAAGCTTTATTTAATTACTAAAAATCATTAATTATACGTTAAAATTTTCTTGTTTATAATTTTAGAATATTCTTATTTTTAAAATCAACATTAATTATAATATATAGTTAATTATGTAGTAATTATTTAATATGAATAAATATTCTAAGTGAAGTAATAATTATGAATTTCTCAACTTTTTAAATAAAAAAATTTATGTTCATAGAACTTTTAATTTACGACAGGTGTTAATTAAATAATTTTAATAAATTGCTTACTGAATTATGTTGTTACTTATTATGCAGTATAAGTCTATTACTTATATTACAAATGTTAAAGATTATTAAAGATTTTTGTACATTTGTTATTTAATCATCCTTTAAAAGAGAGACATATTTGTATAAAGATTGATATATCTACAAATAGACATAAACTAGTACTTATAATAAGGATCCAGATTTAGGCAAGTAACTGCGGGATGCAGTTCTTTTTTTTTGTGAAAATTAATTAGGTTATTTACAATATAAATAAACCTAACAAGTATAGTAACATAATATATAGTACAGACTAGAATATACTTATATACTGGTATAGAATACCATTATCGTAAACTAGTGTAATTCCGTAATTACGTAAATAAGGTAATTTCGAAATAATATAAGTTTACAGAAATATGCTTTTGGGTAAATTACAGATATTTCATTACTCGTTAGTATCGAACTGATTCGGCAGTAGCGATAGAATACATTATAATAATGTTTATTTAAGTGATAATGTTGATAGAGCAAATTATATTGTCGTATTTGGTAGAAATTTGCGAATTGCCATTTTCTGAATTACCCGAATGTAATTACTGAATATGCACATATCATTTAGGCACGAGTATTTATTAAGTCGCAGTGTGGTCCTGGCATAGAATAGGCCACCCCTTCCTTTCCCATGGGTGTCTTAAGAGGCGACTAAGGGAACTTAACGGTAGAGGAATGGGCAGCAGCATTCCTCTTAAAACATTTTTAAAAATCTTTTTTGCGGTTGCTAAGCCGCCTGCCAAGCGTGGCAACTACTGGCAAAACTCCCCTCATGGGGAAAGCTTATGTTCAGCAGTGGACAGTTAACGTTTGAAATGATGATAATTTATTAACTATTTAGTACTAATAACTTGCGATTTTGCCCTCATGAATTAATAAATTAGAATAATACTGTTAAATTGGGGTTTGGTTTAATTGTTTATTATTGAAATTCGTTCAGGTGTCTAATACGTAGATAAGTAACAAGCATTTTAAATATTTGATATATTAACAAACGTTCACATTTATATGGTAGAAAGCTGATATTCAGGTTAGGTGCTGAATTTTTTATTTTAAACTATCATACTATCGTATATTTTATTTAGGTATCTACTTACCTATATACTAGACATATCATATAGGTATAATTATAATCTATGTTTATAATTAAGACCTAAATATGATGTAACGTAAACTTTAATATAAAATATAATAGTTATAAACGTGCTCCAATGCAACACGTTCTCTTTTTGGAGCGTGACAAGGAAGACGTTATCATCTGTAGCTTACATTGCTTGTATCCGAACGCCGGTTGTTACAGTAGTGAGGGACGTAATATTTTCCATGTTCTAAGTGGATTTATTTATTTATTTATTTCAAGTAAACAGTTACATAGACAATACATATTCTTAGTGCCGCGAAACTGCATTGCAGTTTGTCTGCAGCTTTGCGCTCTTGTACATACAGTATTCGATTCATTAAGCTTAAATATAGTGTTTTTTTTTTATAAACATTTTGATAAAAATAATAAAATTTATTATTGATCTTAGCTTTATATTTATTCAAACCGTATAAATAGGTGGCAGGTTTAAACATTCTCAAATGAGAATAGCTTTCCTCTTGCAGCGTGACGACGAATACGGTATTGTCTATGACTTACATTGTGCAATAGGAACGACCGCTATTGTGAAATTTTTCACGTTTCAAGAGCATACTACTATTCCGTCAAGCTCAAAGATAGTAATTCAAGACTTTAATAAAAATAACGGATTATATTATTAAACTTACCTTAGCTTTATGTCTCTTCAAAACGTGCAAATATGTGCCGGTTATAAACGTTCTCAAATGCAACTCGTTCTCGCCTTGCAGCGTGACGAGAAACACGTTATCGTCTGTTACTTCCATTGCGTGTATCGGAACGCCCGCTGTCACGGTACTGAGTAACGTGAAATTTTCCACGTTCCATGTGCAAACCGTACCGTCTTGTGATCCTGTTACTAGTATTTCGCCATCTTGTATCACTTTTACAGCTGTTACCGGCCCACGGTGATGATCTAATTTTGTCACCTGTGATTTTGTTTCAATTATTTAATGTTATGAATAATTTAACGCTAATTGTTAATACTGGCTGGTAAGTTTTAAATAAATATCTATAGTCTTATTTCCCTACTAATTTATTTAAACTGAAATCATTTTGTTTAGGTACTAAATTTAAGTATGTTATTTTCTTATATTTTCACTATGGTTTTTATCGAAGAAAAAATTCTTCAATGTATTTTATAAAAGAGTTTTTCAATTCGACTTGATCTTTTTGTGCAAATTATGGATATTATCCCCAATTATAAACTAATAAAGAAGACTTTAATTCCTTGTTTATTACATACAAATTATGTTACAATTGAAGGCGGTATTTTAATTTTAGTCAAATAGAAAAAAAAAACCTATCTTTATTCCAAACATAAAAGTTAAAAGGTTCATGTTTGTTTGGTTTATTAGCCAAAAGTGAATAAATGAGTTACTAATTATGTGTACATATTTTAATTATGACTTACCAAAACACCGTCCACTAAAGATGTTACAATAACAGCGGAATCTTCTCCACCGCTGATGACTAATGATCTTTTGACTATTGCAGCCACGCACAATACTGGCGCAATATGTTCCCTATGTAAAACATATAAAATGGGTCATTTTATAAATATTATAAAATTGCAATCGTAATAAGAGTAATAAAAGGTCGTAAAAAAAGCCAAAGAAAGAGAGTAATAGAAGGCTATGTTCAAAAGTAGATAGTTAAAGGCTGATATGATGATGATGATGATGATTCATATGAGAATAACATATTTATTTACTATATATGTAACTATTATGCATATATTAACTCAAATATCTACGAGACTACATGAAAATTTAAATTATCGGCTTTGTTAAATTTTAATACATATTCAAAAACGTAACAAGATTTAATACCTTGCTACTATAAAGGAAATTTCAAGTTAGATTAGGCAGTATGGGCTTCAATCTCTTTGCTATTCTTTTACGAATAGTATAAGTAAAGAAAAAATAAGAAAACAAAAGTCAAAGCATAAAACTGACGATAAATTGTAGTTATTGAGATAATCCAATCAATACACTTACAGTATTTTCGTTTTAACTGCCAAAGTGTGAAGATCCCATACGATAACAGTGGTATCTTCGGAACCAGTAAGGAGATACTGTGACTCCCTGGTCACGCACATGCACAGTATCCTCCCGGAATGGCCTGGACAATCATAAAATTGGATTTTATTACACAGCCCCTCGTAAATTTAATTCTATTGAATGGGCTAACTTTACCAATCAGGTTTATATCGATTTGAGGGGAAATAAAAGGTATCTAAATTCGAGTTTTAAAACATTTAATCGGTCGTTGCACAAAGAGAAAAAGTTTGAAAATAATTGTTTGTTTTTAATATATGTATATTTTTTTTTAATTTAAAGTTAATGATGATTGTTTTATAATATAGGTACTTAATTTTTGACGACAAATATTTGATAGAAACACCTGAATACTTTAGAATATAAAAATCGATTTGTAAATACGAGTTAGTACTACAAAAATAAATCTAAAATTAAAATGCTAGTATTTACACGCCGCTTCGTCTGCGTGACCGGCATACGTTGTTTGGCCAGAATAAAAAGTAGCCTAATGTCATATTTCCATCCCAAATACTATGAGTTTGCCAAACTTCGTGAAGCCGTTGAACTAAACATTTGAGATAGAGATATATATAGACTACTTTTTTCCTGGTTAATCAATATATTATGGCTATGAAGGTGAAATAGCTAGTAAAATTAATTTGTGTAAATAAACAAGGAAACCAATATATCTTAAATTATATAGATAGAGCATCGAGCCTCAAAAACGCGTCAACTTTTTGTTAGCTAATTATCAAATTAGCGGACTCGTTTTATTATCAGTATTCTATATACTTACGCATAAAACGTAGCTTGACGTATTATTTAATAAATAAAATAAAAAAGAAGAAAATGAAAAAGAAGCAGTAATTATAAGACAAAATAAATATAGAAGTTATAAAGGAATTACTCATAACTATTTATCACACAAAATTGTATGAAAAAGTTGACCCGTTTTTCTCGAAGCATTTCTATGGAGACACACTACCTATATAATCTAAACAACATATATAATATACTTATTTCAAAATAGATCTTATCAATCAATCTATAATATTACCTATATAAACAAATTACAGCCAGCGGCATGTATGTTATAAGAGCAAACCAATTTCACAAAAACCGATATCTGACGTTAATCATACGAGTATCTGGTATTCAGAAACATTCAGCAGCAAAATTGCAATGTTTTTAATTCGTTCATTTTATTTTCCATTTGTATCTGGCAAAACTTTTTTGATTCGAATATTTATTCAGAACTTGTTAACAGTTTTAAGCGATTTTCAGAAATGGAGGTTCTTAATTCTTTCTTTAAATGACATATTATCTATTTAATGTTATCTGATTTGATAAATTTTTATTCAACTGATTGAATAAAAGAAAGAGGTGGTTCTATATTTTTTAGGTATTTATACATATATACTATGATAAATTTATAGATTTTAAATGAAGGGTGTGATATATAAGTATTTGATTATGGTACTGAGGCATAACGTCTATGACAGGTACTATAGTTATCAGAATGTATCCTGTGATATTCAAGGATGTTTGCTGTTCCAAGTTATAATATATATATATATATAGTAAGTTAATAAAAATAATTCCGGTATTGTATGTTAAAAGTGTAGTTTATTGACGTATATTAGTGAAATATATAATATTAATATAAGTATAATATAAGTCGTAGGTCGTATTACAGATATACTCGTATCTATCTTAGCTTTACGTATAGTTAAGTTAACGCTCGTATATTTCGTGAGGCTATAATATGTCGCGTTGCTACAAGGATTAACCCTTGTGCCACTAATGTTTCGTTTACTTAGTTAACCGGAAACAAGGGTGAAGTTGACCTTTGCCACGGAAAATGAATAAAGCTAAGAAAAATTGAAGATAAAAGCCTCACAAGGTAACCTTAAGATAATAATTTTGTCGTAAAAATCTTTGTTCGTGTAAAATTTTTGACACCATAGGGCTATCTGTAAACCAACTTTAACTTGAGCTTTAGATCTAGTTTTTAGGATGTTAAAACATAATAGACGAATAGAGTGGTCTTGAGAACTTATATAATTAATAATTCAAAAGTACTATTAAAATTTAATTATCTAAGTAAGTATTATACACACAAACATATAATTATGGTAGTTTTGTAATGTGAAGAATAAAATATCTCAAAATTTAAGGGTTGGTAAATACAGAAAAGCTTTCTTAAAGGATATTTATGTGACAATATATTTTACTTAACTATTGAAATATAAATATTCTGTTCAGTAGTTTGTTGTTTTTTTTTCTTCTATCTTATTTTGCTTCTGATTTATAAGATTTTTGAAGATACAAAACTTAAACTTTTAAGCTATACACGATTTATACTATACACAATTGCTTTTGTTGTTTTTTTTTATAAAATATAAGTGAGTTCTAAGAGGGATTTTCCGAAGTTATCCAAGGGACATAAGTTTACGGTTTGCGCACGTGCAGCGCCGCTAGAAATAGTAAACTTATGTTGCTTCGAGGTTTGTTGTAAGAAAAGTCTTATAGAGTTAAGCTTGCCTTATGTCCGTCAACTTTTTAACAAAAAATATATAATGTATCGAAATACTTTACTGTACTTATTTATTTTTCTATTTTACTTTTACTTGAAAAATTTTATGGCACCAATATTTATTGAATTATTAATAGACATTAAATAGGTATAGTATAATACAAACGGTGGCCTTATTGCTAAGCAATCTTTTTCAGATAACGTTTGGGTTTTGAGAATTAATAACAGGAGATATAGAACTAAACATACGTAGACAAGTATTATATATATGTACACTTATATATAAATACATACAAAAATACATATATACATAATAAATTCTTTATTGCGCACAATAGAGATGTATACAAGGAGTATTTATACAGAATGTATATACAGAAGGCGACCTTATCGCTTAAAGCAATCTCTTACAGACAACATGGATAGCATAGGTGTAAATATAATATTACACCTATGCTATGCTGTGTTAGGGGCATTTGCATAGGCGAGTTGCGGCCCGTAGTCCGAGTGTTGTGATGCATAGTGCCGAACGCACCCTGAACAAGACTTTCGGAAGAAGTCGAAATAATAGTCAGAAATGGCAAAACTCAGTGAGTTCGTTAATTTCTCGTTATACATGTATTTAGACATAATACAACACCCATCTACGTTTAACTACCAATATGACGAATACTTGGTAAATGGATAAATAAACATGTTGGTTTAGAAACAATTGTAAAATTAAGTTTTTATAATGTAATCCACCATTTTGTGGCTGGACCATTAAAAAATTATATTTTTTATTTTCTCGTTATCTACTTTTAAAGCTCTGTTACTTTATATCCATATTAACTTGGTTGACGAAAAACCTATACACTAACTGTAATTTTAAAAATATTACAATATTAAGTATTGCATATTGAATTGACATCAGAGCTAACTTTTAAAACAAAATTTTAAAGAAATCAATTCCTCTCAGTTGGTTCTAATTGAGCTTGCAAGATTTTACTTTATCTAATACATATTGCAATTTAAAACATTATATATATTAACTCACCTTTAAAAGTATGCACCCTCGAGTTAGACATAACGTGCCATAGTTGTGGATCACCAGCAGACGGTGCTAGCACTAGGTGCTGACCAGAAGGAGCAAGTTGCAGTAGCTTGGCGCCCGCTCCTGGGGTTGAGCCACCCACGGACACCACGCGGACTGTTGATGCTATCGGTGGTTGAAGCCTGTTCAACATGTTAGTGTTTTTAAATTGTACCACAGATTAAGGTAATTATTAATTACAGTATGACTATTCCCTGCTTGTCTAGCGAGCTGAGTTGACTTCGTTTCCACCGTTTGAAAAAGGAACATATCGCGTCACTAATATTTTTGCTTGTACATGTTTCTATTTATGTGTACACGGATACATTGTAGAAAGCGTGTACTATCCTTAGTCTATGGGACATCTTATACAAAAACGGTGTGTGTTTTTGTATGAAATTCTAATAGTCAGAGACAATAGGCAGTCAACTTTACTACAAGTAAAACATTAATTTATTGATGTAAAGATCGATTTTAGAATATGTTTGATTCTGAAAAGTTTTAAACTTAAAATTAATAAATCGCCATAAGTATGTCTCATTAAAAGTGTATAAAGAGAGAATATAAACATTCTTTGGATGGATTTAGTAAACCATTTCCTCATTGTTTGTTTACATTTGTATTTAACTGCATATATATTAAGAGAAACACCATCGATTTGCGATGAAAATATATTTATACATTTCAGACATCCTCAATCGTTTAGTTTTCTTTAGGATTATGAAAGTGTTTCCCCTTTTTGTTTGTAATATGTTTTGTATTAGACTACATATAACTATATAAGGTATCGAAAGCAGACTGAAGTATATGCAGGAAAAATTTTTTTTTTTTTTATTAACACACGCTAGGTAGTTGGCCAGATACAACCAACGCAAGAAAGCATTCATGGTTCATATTTTCTTACTGGGATTAAAACTATCCTATTTCTCAAATTAAAGCAGACAATACAGATTTATAAAACTTTATCAGAATAGATTGAGCAGTTTCGGAGATTAACGTGAATGAACAACGATATGAGATTTATATAAGTATATTAAGGTCAAATATTGAAGGTGCTATTTCATTTGCGATGAAAGGCATTTCTTTAAAACATTTCAGTCGTCAGCAATCATTTAGTTTTTATTGAATATTAGGTATATATTTCCTTATTGTTTGTTTTCGATACACATAAGGCAATAAATAAGTCACATTCTATATTTATTCTTACGGATTATATATAGACTTACTACTATAGTAGCTTATTATATGTATATAAATAAAATAAAGTCAGGATATTTGTACCATTTATAATAATACAAATTTTGGTGATTTATGATTTGTTGAATTTGTCTTCGCTCTGAACAGCGGAATAATTATTAAAATATAGGAAAGATTCATGTAAAAAATAAAAATAAAAAATATTTTAGAAAGATAGGTGGTACGAAATCGCGGGATCAGCTAGTATTTAATAAAAATAAGGGGTAATAATAAGACAGACAATGGTGACAATAAAACATTTTTTTTTAATTTTGTTCTATCTGTCTGTTTGTCTGTATGTTTTTTCCGGTATCACACATAATAATAGACACAAATTCTTAATATCTAAACAAAATGTAGAGTTTAAATAATGTATATTGTAAATCGCTTTAAATTTAAAGTGTACGTTCCAGGTGTAACAATAAAAGAATATTATCTTTTGTGTTCGGCTGCATAGAAGACATTAAAGAAGCCAGATCGATTTGCGCACTGGACCGTGTAGCGTTGTATACCTACTTTCCTGTTTCGCTCGAACGCTTCCCTATAACATTCATCCCGGCTAGATATCACGAGGAAGTTAATGGGACAGATAAACACAATGATTAGTTGCTTAATTAACACGAAATCCTACCGAATCCCTGGAAACGTTAACGGATTATTTGCGGTTGCCGATACGCGGTATGTTTTATCTATGGCACGTGACTCTTTATTTAGGTATTATTTTCACTCGGCGTGGAATTGGATACTCGTACTTTATTTGGGTAAAGGTTGTTTATTGGTTCAGATTTTTTTTTATCGAAATGTTAGGTATAACTTTATTCATGTTTATGGCAGAATGCATGCCTATTTTTTAAATCAGGACTGGTACTCTATTATCTAGACAACTATAAAATGTCCTTACTGTTTTTTAATTATGTTATGAAATTTGGGATATACGCTGTATTATGAGCTGGAGAAGGTCATGTGCTATTCTTATCCTAGTTAATGACTATATACCAGACACGCAGAAGCAGTCGTGGGTAAAAGTAATAGTTATATAATTTAGAACACTCGATCCTGGTAGGACAAAATAGCTAATTTACATTGATTTTGTTTTAAATAACGTTTCCGTGTGTGCCCCGGCTTAAAATGGGATACCCCTATTTTCCCGTGGATGCCGTAAAAGGCGACTTAGAGAGGGTAAAAGATGGGCAGCAGCGTACCTATTAAAACATCTCTAAAAGTCTAGCTGCGGTTGCCAACCTGCTTGCCAAGCGTGGCAACTACTGGCAAAGCTCCCCTTATGGGAAAAGCTCATATCCAGCAGTGACAAGTTAACGTTTAAATTAATAATAATAATATGTTTTAAGTAGCGTTTCACACTAAGGATTTAGGTACTTCTCAGCGTGTAGGTATATTCCTTTCTTTACATTCATAAAATCCGTAACAATATCTGTTTGTGAATTCGTGGTGTACGAAGGATTTAGTCTATCATTATAAAATTGGGTAACACGTATTATTTGAGATGAAGTAAGACGGAGACTTTTTATCCCAGTCAATAAACATACATCTCGGTCATACGAACGAATTCAGTCGCTGATCAATATTTATATATTTATTAGTTAACAAAAGACTAGAAAGTCAAGTAAAAAGAAAAATTTCACGGCGTGCAAAGGTATAAGAAAATCGATTTTATTACCTTCGAGTATACATGTTTTATAGAATTATTTTGGGTCGGCTGTACTAGACGCAGCTACAATGAGCTGAACCACAAAGATTGCTAGAATATTCTATTTGTTATACGCTTAGATTATACCTATACGGTATGAAGGCCTGAAATAGTGAAATACGTTAATAAAGCATAGGCGTTAGGTCTAAGGATTGAAATCTTTATATCGTAATAAAAAAAAATTGTATATGGACGTATATAGTCTAGACTTTTTTTCGAGAGACATAATGGAATGATTTTCCCACCTAAGCTATCGATATATACTAGATTTAATCACAATAGTTTTGGGCGCGAATTGTGTGAAATCGTTCTGATTAGGTATATTGCCTGCAACGGGACCGTTAATCCCTCCTTATTACTAACAATCCCTTCCCCCTATACGTCTCTAGTAGGTCATTATCATCTTCATCATAATATTGGACATTAACTGTCCACTGCTAAACATATGGTGTTTCCCATTTGGAGGGTTTTACTTCTAGTAGATACATGTACTTATTCACTATCATTAATAATGATTACTATTACATTAATCAATTAATAAAAAGCAATTAATTAATTAAAATGTATCTCAAATACTTTACGGAATTGAGAGACCTTAATTATAATAGATCGATTTATGGACTTTTCCCATTTCCCAATTCACGTTCGTAATTAGTTAAAGTATTAAATACCCTTGGTATTTACACTAGAGCAGGTGCGGCCAAAGTTGCTTTTCCCCAAGTGCTTGTAAGGTCGGCAAATTGAATAAAATTGAACAACAGGATTAGTAGTATTGATCCCTATTTGAACTTGGCATTTGTTCACCTCGTGCGCGCTAATTGATCAATTTGGCTGTTCGTTTAGACTTGCGAGGGGCAGATGTTGTACGATGAGAAGTGTTTATAAAGTTTAGTCAAGTATTGTATGTATAAGAGAATGTGTTAAAGGATTTCATGTGAGGGGAGTATAATTTATAATATCGATCCGATTTTAGTATTCATTACCAGTATAAACTGGGTTACTGAGCTTGTAAATAATCGAATTAACTTTAGACAGAGGACATGAAAGATTGAGGATCATCCTTTCATCATACAAAGGTCTCGTCTATTTAAAGATATACGAAGAATGAATCATAAGTCAATATAATTATTTCAATAATTAATTTTGAGATTTTATTTGTTTATATTAAATTTTGACACTTCATAGTTTGTTTATAAACGATGTATTATAAGAATTTTAATTTAAAAAGATTTAGATTGCTATACATTGCATTATCTTTAAACAGCGTTTTTTTTATAGATATTAAGAAATATAAAAAAAGTTAAATATTAAAGGATTTTCATACAACATTTGTTTATTTAAGACTTTATTGAACCTATTAAATTGTCAAGATAGATATATTTTTCGCTTTTTATTTAAAGCTAGAAATAATTGATCCTTTCTCTGTTTTGGGAGAAAAAATACAATAACTAGTCTGCAAGCAGGTGCGTCATAAATTATTATTAATGTAGGTGTTAGGTAATAAAAGATAAAAATATATTTATATAAAATAATTCATTAAATAATAAAATACTAAAGAAAAGATGAATATGAACAATATATTTTAGGCATATGAAAAAACTATGTATTAAAAAGAATGTACACAGAAATAATGACGGGATTAACAAAAAGGAAAACATTCTATTATACTAAAATTGGACTGCTTAAAGTAATTGCAGGATAGAAATAGAGTACATGACATCATCAGAAATTCACCTTGGTGGTGTTATTTAGTAATTAATATAAATATCTGACATTTAGCTCGATACATATCAGTTCTCTGTTACGTTGAATTCTAATATGTTCCGCGAAATGTTGACATTTTGAATGTTAGATTTATTACGGTGACAACCAAAACGTTAAATTAGATGCTTATCACTATAACAACCAAAATATTTCTGATTCCCTCATTAACGATTACAGTTGTGCGTGTATTTTTATTTTATTTCACATAAATTGACTTTATACGTGTTGTTTTTGAATGTATTTATTTATTTAGGATTACCAACATAAGATACAGCGAAACATTTCGATACACTACACTAGTTGATTATGGCTTACATTGTTCTTACATTTAAAGACAACCACAGCATGCTTCATGTTTAAAAAATATTATATATTAAAAAAAAATAGAATTAAATGTATGAAAATCAATAGAAGAGACCATTTCTAGATAAATCATATCAAGTAAAATATACAGATTTTAAATTCTACCTTTAGAAATACAACTGTGAAACTAGCATTTATTTTGGTTCAGCTGTTTTTAAATGATGCAAACAGACAAAAATAATTGATTTAGCTTATTAAGTACACTATTACTAAGATTTCTAACATATTTTTTTCTTAAATATCTTATATGCGCTGAAATTGTCTAGTGATTTTTCTATATGTTTATACTCGTAAATATCAGTCTACTTACCATCCATTTAAAGGTACAAGCAGCGGTTTGTCGTAACCATCGCACCAGGCCATAGCAGATGTGACCAAAGTGGCGAGCACGCCACGCCGCGCCACTGCAGGCCTCAGCCAAGCTATGATCTGGACAATTTAAAAAATAAAAATACTATGAAAATTGTATGAACTTTATAACAAATAGCAGAGTAAAATGAAAATCATTATTAATTGTATAGGATGTCTTAGCAGTGAAAGTAATCATTTCATCCAAAGAAGCTTGAATAACAAAAAAATTTGTGTGTTCCATACTAATTTGACAAATGAACGCGTTCTGAATGCTGTTAGTATAGATATAGATATATTATCCTAGAGTGCTATAAGCTATTTTTTATTTTGGTAAATACGTATTTTCAATAATTAATGTCAAATGTAATTAAAGTCGGCAAAAATTTTATAAAATGGCGTGCGCTGCCTGAATGGTTTAAAATAAATTGCATTCCTGAGGACTCAGGTGTTATTCCTATGTACTCTGTAGATTCACTGTAATATCTCACCCTTTAAACTGAAACACAGCCATGCAAACACAACTACTTTACAGTAGAAACATGAATGGGACAGAGGTGCTCAAGCAAACAACTTTTGTACAAATTCTACCTCTGGTAAAACATAAACAAACCTGTGCGAAGCCGGGGCGGGTCGCTAGTATATTTAGATTTGAAATAAGCACTGCTGTCGCTATAATATATTGTAAGTAATAAGCATAGGCTCTATCTCCATATGAAACGTAGAGGCGTAATGTTGGTCATTTAAAGCGTAAAGGGCAAAGGCGAGTTGTTTACTTTATGTGCCTGTAAATAGATTTTTTATGTGATCAAATCTAGTACTCTACTGATTGTTTGAAATTACCTGTTGATAATTGACGTAGTGTGCTTTATTTAAACATGTTCAACCGAGATCAAAAATTTGTAGCTAATTCTCCAAACTTACATAATGAAAAATTGACTGATTGTGAAAGTTGAAATTTTGCATAGAACTTGTTAATATAACAAACATGAATGAACATAAAGAAAAGACTTCCCGAAATTACTACAGGATCTCTATTACGCCTACGAGAAATCGAATTCCACGCAAAATAATTGTGCAAATTCACTGGATCAAATAATTCTTCTGAGTTTAATATATATATTATATTTTTAGAAATAGATGAATATTATTGCAGAAAACTGTAAATAAGCGTATATCAACCCTAATTTTATCAGTTCCTGAAATTTTCGTCGAACAAAAGCCTATTGAAACCCGTTAAAGACTTTATAGCGTTTGCTGACATCGAAAGTCTTATTGATTGATATTGAGACTTAAGTTGGTTTTATGAGAAATTGGATTTTACGGAGAATGATTTCGTATAACAAAATTTCGTTTCAAGCCTTATATATCATAACAAATGATTTTAAAATATGTCAGTCTACTTATTTTGTAAATTGTGCATTTTTTGACAGTATAATACAAGAAATTAAGCACATTATATCGTTCGAAAATAAGATTTTATAAAGACTTTTTGCCTTAATTATTTTCATATTGAATAAGCATTCATTATCAGAACCTGATTACGAGTACTATCTATCAAATAAATTGTCATGGCTTGAGACTAAAGGACTCATTAACTTCTAATTTGATGTGTAATCAATGTGATCACGTTTCGACTCCACCATCAGAGCTGTTCAAAAAACATTATTATAAGATGTATAGGTATCTAAAGTAAATCAATAGGTATTTGAAGTACATTTTCGACTCCACCATCAGAGCTGTTCAAAAAACATTATTATAAGATGTATAGGTATCTAAAGTAAATCAATAGGTATTTGAAGTACATTTCAGTAAATTCTAATATCAAAAACTGATCCAAAAGTTACTTGAAACTTTTGAACAAAGCAACTACTCTAACTATGGCGAGATTAAATAAACGCTTGTCAAAATTTGGTATTGTGTTGATCGGACGGGTCATCAGAACTCCGATTGTTAAGGTCAATATTGGTTAACATTTTATTAAAATACTTATTGACTCAAAATTCAACCTAACAACATATGAATAAGTTTTACAGTATTACCTGAAGTTAAATTCTATAAATGACATCATTCTTCACATAAACTTAATTAATCGATTTGGCTATCTTATATAATTAGGAAGCCTACCAATGTGATTTACAAACCACTGCAAAAGAAATAAAATGACACAATTTCACTTTTAAAGTGAAATAAAATTTTCTGAGAATAAGAGGCTTCGAGTAGTATTTTACCGCATTATGATAATTAGTTTCAGAGTTTTCTGAAGTTCGTGGAGATGAATAAATTCATTTGTTTCTTTGCTTTTATTGATCACGAATTCTTAAAAAATATAATTTAAAAAAAAAGATGCAATTACGGCGATTTAGCGTTTGCAGGGCAGGAATAGATTACAGATAGAGTATCAAATAAATAAATAATTAATGGCAGACTAGCTTATAGAAGTTCTTAATAATATGATTTGAAAGAAACTGACGTTTTTCGTCTCCTCTTCCCCACTCATGAATTTGTTGACATAAGCATACTACGTGATCTATTGATCGAAGAATATTGGTCTTTTTTCCAATTTTTTTTTAGGAAGGCTATTATTTACTTATTTTTTATTTATTAATTCGTTATTGACCATATTGCAAAAAATTTTTGATACAAAAGGCGGACTTAATGCTCTCCTAGTTAATTTTATGTTACATTATTTAAAATTAGGTTATTATTAATACTTATAATATGTTATTGTGTTATTATTAATAATTATTATTATAAATACCTGAGCACCAAGCTGCATGGGATCCCTGGTGAGTATATCGCTCGCTTTCCTCACTGCGCCGTATACCAACTCCACGTCACGGTCCAGGATGTAACACCGCACATGCTCCAAAATGCATCGCAGATACGATATCGTGACTGTTTGAACCTGTGTGTAGTAACAAAATTTGTGTTATGGAATTAGGATGCATTATATTATGACGAGATTCTTAATTCGGTTTTGATATTTTTATGTGTATTTTGTATGACATATTTGCTCTGATTGGGTAGAGTTTAGATTTTTTTTAAAAAATAGTCATTTAGTTGTTTTTTATTCTCATAAATTATGGTAGATATTATTAAAACTCAAATTATTTTTTATTAAAAACGACTATTACTATTACGGTGAAATTTGTTCAAATAAGACAGTCTCCTTTTTAAAATATACACGAATTTTTTTACATAATATTTATATTAAATATAAAAAAAAAACATAAAAATAATAAATTCCATTATTCCTAAATCTTTGTGAAATACTAATTATATTTTACTTGTTTATTTCTTTCGTGCAAATAAGTTTATATTGATATATACTTATTTGCGATTATTATTATATTGACAATTATTAAGTATAATAATAATATAAATATATGAATCTATGTATCCATTTAGTACCAACATACCTACTGTAATAGTTACGATCTATCATCTTGTGACAGTACATTGTTCATATCGACAGGAACTTGACGTCGTTAACGTTAGGGTAAAACAAATACAAATGACTAGTAAACTACTTACAACACCAACACAAAATGATTTAATGCTTTTTATTAAAAGTTATCGGTACATATTAATTATTCCTATTTACTCTGCAAAAAAGTTATTATAAATTTACGTAAATTATATTAGTTATGTTCCTAAGAGACATAAAAATCTTTTGGATTTTGGATCAAAAAGAGGGTAAGAATAAAATAAAATATTTTAATTTAGACAAAAGAAGATTTAGGTAAAAGACAATTTAGGTAAAAGGTCGTGTCTACACACGACCAGCAGGGTTTTGATACGTAGATAAAAAAAAATAGATTAATTGCCAAAAAATGAATATGAAACCAACATGAAGCTAAAACAATTATTAAAATCAGCTCAGGATTAGTGAAGGTATTGCATATAAACAAAAAGGGAATATAATTAAGTTTTAAATTTAAATTTATTTTTACCAAATAAACTACCTTCCAATCGACAATAGGACTAATATATGAACCAATGAAAAAATTAATATCATAGTATTTCCAAATATCACTGATTACCAAATATTATTTAATGTTTGAAGGAATTAATCGGTTGTATTGTTACATCATAATCATCATATCGACCTTTAATTGTCCACTGCTGAATATAAGCCTCTCCCTATTGGAGGGTTTTACCAGTATTTACCACGCTTGGCAGGCGGATTGGCAACCGTAGTTAGACTTTAGAGATATTTTAAGAGGGACGCTGCTGCCCAACCCTTGCCATCCCTAAATCGCCTCTTACGACACAAATTTCAGTTTGCTCCCACTTATCAGGCTATTTCTCTGCTCAATTCTCTGATTGCTCAGCAGCCTGATTTTGATATATTTAATGACAAAATAGATATATTTTTAAAATGTTGTACAAAATTTTTAAGTTTGTAAAATAAACCTATGGCTCACTACAGGTTTTGGGAGACTGTAAGTGTGGTAAGTAATTTTATAAATTAAATTAATTTTAAAATAAATAAATAAATGGGAAAGGAAGGGTTGGCCTATTCTATGCTAGGACCACACGGCCTTGATTGTATTGATATATGGATCGAATAAATCTTACAAAATAGCAATTTTACTCTCAATAACACTAAACACAGAAATAAGTAACGTAATATCATCAAAGAAATTGTGATTTCACTGGGGAATCACGACCCTCAGTAATGAAGTATGCTGCGCGAAAATTTGATTTGTCAGTGGAATCAGTAGAATAGCGCAAATTTTGTTTTTCTATGCTATCGTCGAATGATCTTTCTTATTAAGAAGTTGTATGAGGAAATCTTTTATGATATTTCCGTATATCAGAATGTACTAGTAGCAAAGAACACGTAGGTATTAAAAATCATTAAGTACCTATAAATAAAAAAAAATTTAGAGTTGAATTGACTTGTGAATTTGAATAAGGATTGAATAAAGACCAAACAATAGGTAATTTGATTCAGTATTATGCCTTTTTATGTTTTTAAATCTGTTTTTTTTTTAATATGTACATAATTTTATAAATAAGTATATTGATAAAATCCCTTCTATTTTTCTATTTGGCAAGTTAGAATGGTTTATCTTTTTATCACAGAAAAATCTTATCTTTGTCCCCTACAACTAAACCAAAGGAATAAATGAATCTTGTAACCCAATATTGATGTAACATGGTACACTAATTGATTTTAATTCGAACTAAATGTTCCCTTTTATTATGCCAATGCCAACAAAAACCGAGCCGGTCACCAAATGGAAGTAGTTTTATCCTATTTTTTTTCTCTTATCTCGTAGTTTTTCCTGTCCTCTCGATTAGCGGCCCTCGTTACGTCATTACATTTATAAGATTTAGTAGACTATTACATTTATAAGATTTAGTGAATGACTAATAAAAACAAATGGGGACTGTTTCAAGATTTCCGTAATCGAAATCAAATGGGGAATAACAAATTGCTGATGTTAAGAATATTTTTTAACATTTTATTTGATTACCGTGTTTATTTGCAACTTACAGAACCAATAAAGGTAATGAACGTGTATTTTGCTATTTGTAATAGGCTCTATTGAACATAGACAGCATCATGGAAACTTCAGAGCTATGATGCCCACTGTGCTTCATGTATCAACATTCCTAGGGACTAAAATATTGTATCTCGGCACCTTATTTTATTTGCCTTTATTTATTTTTTTTAATTTATATTAGTATTTTAATTTTTTGTTTTCTACAGAGTAGTAATTTAACAATTTTAATTATTTAAATCACAAAAAAAGAAGTTACAAGAAAAGGCTATACAGAGAAAATAATGGACGCTCTTATCGCTAAACGTGATCTCTTCCACGAAACCTTTGGATGGATAACCTTTTTTTATACTTACAGCAGCAAGAAGGAAATCAAAGTTGCACACTGTTAGGTCTTTAAGCTTTGAGAAGTCCCCAGCGAGGAGAAGATGTAGCCAAGACTCCTCAACGTGGCGCTGTGTGAATGCTGCAGCTGTCCTGCTTGCTGAGTGGAAAGGAGTGGAGTCCAATAGCGCGTCGTCATCATCCACGCATCCTGGTATATTCATATTATATAAGACAACAGTTTTATCTATATATTTGTTTTATTAGCCGTTAACTATCTACTGCTGGACATAAGCCTTTCCGATAAGGGGAGTTTTGCCTGTAGTTTCCACGCTTGGCAGACGGGTTGGCAACCGAAGTTAGGCTTTTAGAGATGTTTTTAGAGGGACGCTGCTGCCCATCCTTCGCCCTCCCTTAGTCGCCTCTTATGACATTCACGGGAAAAGAAGGGGTGGCCCATTCTATGCCGGGCACACACGGCAAATATTTATAATAATGAAACAAAATCCAGCAAAATTAGATTCGAATATAGAATAGACAAAATTGTCTGATGTCCATTCCAGGACATGAATAGAGCTTTCAGATATGCGTAAAAATATGTCTAAGAGTACATATGTACCGCCTTGTAAAGGTCGACTTCCCCAACAAAATAATCTTAATACGCCAATGACTATGTGCACCTAATTTATCTTGTATTTGCGAAATTGTACAACTTTTCCCAGGGGACATTATACGGAATAATAAAACGTAGTGTATTTACGAGAGTGGTAGACACAATAAACATACCACACGTATATTTCTTGTTTTTCAAAATTTGGCATAAATTGCCATATGTGCTGGTATTAAAAAATAGTATGTCAGTTTAAATTTTCTTGCTTTCCGAAGAGGGAAATTATCGTTTGAATTTATAAAGATTTCATACAAACATTTATTTATTACGTATACATATTTCAGATTTAAGGATACTTTATCTATATTGTATACAACTGTATCTATATTGTATTCATTCATTTATATGTCTTTATTGATTTAAGTAGCGCTGACTTATTAGTGTTAGAAAGCACACGGTCGAGTGTAACTGGACCGTGTGCTTTTACACACTGTACTGCATCGCCGTAGTTACACATTGTTTTCCTCGGGGATAAGAAATTGTTAGTAATGCGGACAAACAGTACTTTTGTTAGCAATAATATACTCGTCGATCTCCACGTAGTTTCCCCTGGAAACCATTGTGACGAATTTTTAGTTTTTTCATCACGATGGGCTAACTAACCTGTCTTTTCATTCTCATTTAACATGCCTTACTGGTGTCTCGCCAGCGTATACCTAGCGCAGGCGGGTTATCATTAAAAAAAACATGGTCTAGTGACAGGGAAGAAGTCGCGGGTATTTGCTAGTTATAGTTGACAATTGAGCAGATAAAATCTAAATTTCTGCCTACCCTAATCGAAGACAGGCGTGACAAATATATATGTATGTATGTATATACGGGTACGGTAGCCCCTCGTCGCCGACCCAGATTGCTACACAAACCACTTGCCCGTATGAGACATGCTGCTCATGCACCCACGAATCGTGCATTGCACTTGATTGGGGATATGCTTGCTCGGTTCGACGATGTTGACATTTTCGCTGATAAGAAAAATTGATTGATGCAGCTTATATATTCCTGGATTTTCTATGACATATCTCTAATGTATATATTGATATTTTTAGTTATAATTGAAATTGACATTGTTTTATATATTATTATTGTTTTCCTATTTACTATAATGGAATTAATTACAGAATTGATATTTTATGAAAATTGAATATAATCGTAATCTTCTATAGTTAATTATTACAATTAATTATTGTAAATAATTTGACATGTACCTATAAATTGTAGTGTGTCAGAGTTTTTTTTTAATGGGTGAAAATGGTATAGTAACCCCGCCTGCGCTAACGTGATACGCTGGTGGAGCACCAGTGAAGGGTGATAGATGAGAATGAAAACAGGCCAGTTAGCCCATCATGATGAATTCATCAGGAATTAACCATGATAGTTTCCAGGGTGAACCGCGAGGAGGTCGACCTGGTTGGGTATATTGCTAGCAATGGGATTCTCAGTCTCCATTACTAAAAATCCCTTTCCCCCCAGTGTGTTGGAGTTTGTTGTTGATAATCTGTAGAGTGCAGGTAACAATAAATAAATAAGTACTGGGCACAACTGACCGGGCTCCTGCGCCTCGCTGTTGTCGGTGTCGTCGCCGTCGTGCAGGAAGCTGGCGAAGTGCAGCGCGGCGAGGTCGGAGTGCGCGTCGCGCAGCGCGCTCTGCACGCGCACGTAGCGGCGCCGCGCGCGCGCGCCCGCCGCGCCCGCGCGCCAGCGCCACGCGCCGCGCCCCGACACCACCGCCCAGCTCACCAGGCCCTCTGCGCCGCCACTCACGCTTACACTCGCACTTATACTCGCACTCCGCTACTTACACGCACACGCACACGCACACGCACACGCACACGCACACGCACACTCCGCTACTTACACTTGGCGTATTTACACAACTCTGTTCTAGTCAACTTAGGCTTTTTTTGTACCACTTAGGTGGCAAACAAACGCACTGCCCCAAGCCTAATGGTAAGCAGTTACTGTAGTTTTAGATTATATAGATAGAGTGTCTCCAAACAAGTGCTTCGAGAAAAGCGGGTCAATTTTTTTTTAGACAATTTTGCTTAATAAATAGTTATGAATGATATGTTTATAACTCTTATATGTATTTTGTCTTACAATTTCTGCATCTTTTTAATGCGTAAATATTAATTTTATTATTACATAACATGTATGTTAAGATACATTGTATGCGTAAGTATATAGAACATTGATAAAAAACCGAATGAAATGAAAAAAAGTTGACCCATTTTGAAACTCGACTTTATTTATATAATCTAAGATTTTTTTATACTACTGGACTGGCAAACAAACATACTGCCCACCTAATGGTAAGCAATTACTATAGCTTATGAACTCCTGCAATATCAAGGGCATTACGCGCGCGTTACCGATCCTAAAAAATCTCTTTACCTCTTCTTTGAAGAATTACAGTATTTTGAGAAAACCCAGGTCACACACACTTTTGCAGAGTGCCCAATAAAATAAATATGACCATACATTTTATTTTACTCTGGTGTTATTATATCACCTTAAACATCTCTCACGACATCGTAGACGAAAAATTGCTGATACACAGTAATCTTACGCCATCACCATACGGATTAGATTATTAAGCAAATCTTGGGATTAAACTAATATTATAAGAATATCTGAAACTATCTATAATGTAGTTAGTGTTTGTTTACAACGGACGGTCTACATTAAATTAAATTTTTTTTTAATGGGTGATAATGGAATAGTAACCTCACCCTCGCTAACAGTATACACCGGCGGGGCACCAGTGGAGGATGATAGGTGAGGATGAAGCAGGTCAGTTAGCCCATCGTGACGAATTCAAAAAGATTGTTCACGATGGTTTCCAGGGGGAACCACGTGGAAGTCGACCTAATAGGGAATATCGCTAGCAATGGGGCTGTCAAACTCCATTGCTAGCATTCCCTTCCCCCCCCCCCCCCCAGTAAAGAGTGTTCTGTAAGTACATTGCCCAAACATCACAATTGAGCTGATCAGCTTCTTTGTGCCATTCTATAATCAGCCTACCTATGTCGGGACCAAACGAAAATTTCGGTGGGGTAATATACCCACGATATCCTCCTGCTGTGAACGTCCACGATATCGGCACGAAAAACTTAATAACATTGAATTTAAAATATTAGCGATCATCATAATGAAATACAATTATTTCATTATATTGTGAAACATCGACGTATTTATTATATTTGTATAGATAGGCGCTTTAACTAAATTTTGTATTAAATAACTTATTATTATCTAAATAATAATAAATTTATTAAAGATTATTTAATAGCAAAATTATTTAATGACACCTAAAACAATTTATTTTTGTCAATCTGATATCCAATAAACGCGGATATTGTCTTTTTAATCTACAGAGTGTAGATGACAGGCATTTTAAACGATTACTTGGGACGGCGTAGATTAAATGCTTAGGTGCTTAGTTGTTTGTAAAGAAGTCTTAATTTAATAAACAGGGGGAGAATTAATATCCATTTCACATCTTAATTTAATTAAAAAGAATAGATTAAGGCGCTTGATACACGGGCTGTGGACTGCGCTATTTTCATATAACGGAGTACAAATAAAAAAAATCGCGCGTCGTACTTTGGCAGGGAAGTTGCCGCGCGATTTACAAAGTTGTGTCAAATATAATTTGAATATTAAATACTTTAGTAGTATGGCCATTTAACATAGTGCCTTACCTTCTATGGTCGCTAGTTCGATTTCCGTAAAATACACAATATTCATGAGTCTGTTTGTGTTGATCTAGATGTTTTCTATACAACATGGGGTATGTACTTACGAACAAAAATGTATCAAGTGTGTATATTATTATTATACTGTAAGCTTTACTTAGTATGTTACTAGATGGCATTGTGTAACACTTACTCATCATATATTTGGCGACACATAAAGTAGAAAAGTTGAAGTTGGCATCCTTGAGCGTTATAACAGCTTCGCTGTTACTGGTGGGCATCAAAAGTTCCAACAGCTCTAGTTCAGTGAGGCCGAATTCCGAACAAGTTATATAACCTAGAAACAATGACAATTAATTTATATTTGCATGTTTCTTGTACTATAACTATTTAATTGTTTATTAATTTTATTATGTATAATATTACGCGGACTACAACTATGTATTCCTCGGCTTTACCCATATACAAAATTTCATTCTTATAAATCATTTCTTCTCAATTTTCTGTTCATCTTATCAATCAATTGCATTTATAATTTTTTTTTTCCATAAATATCTGAACTGACTTAATATACAATAATATTGCAAGATTGACAACGTTCACTGTAAAATTAATTTTATCGTTAATTTTACATTAAAGGACAAATACAAAAGTGATTTTAGAATGTCTTTAGTATCAATCATGAAACAAGGTGGTGTCTTGTCCTTTAACTTATAATTTTAATCAGCAGTACATCGAGGCTTTACTCGTGGTCATATTTTGCTGTTGAATAATATATAAAATATAACAACAAAAACAAACAAAAAAACCTTCCTCTAAGTAACAACTATAAAATGCAATACGAATAATATTTCAAATCTGGCATAATACGTATAAAATAGTTTTGTTTAGGAATGACATTCTATGATTTGCCACTTTATAATTGTGGATATATTGTCATTGTTCGACATTGCACTAGTTATAAAGTATTAAAAGTAAATAAGTAATATTTGCTTTTATAGTATTCCCAGATTATCATTTTACAGATAATAAAATCATACGTACTTGCTAATTTACTAAACGCTTTAGAACCGAAGAAGACTTCTAAGTTATCAAAGGCACCATCAATATAGTCTCCGTAGCTATGATTTTCCGGGGTTTCCTCAATAGCGTCTAGGAGGTAATAACTGTTTTGAACTTTAAACTTTTCCTTTTGAGCTGGAGTTAACTGTAATTGCTCGAGCGACACCGCACTAGTGCAGAATAGGAAAACGTTCCTTGGAAGCGACATAGGTAACCAAGATAACCCTGTCACGATATCACATTCTAAAGGATTAACTCTATGAACATTATCAATAAAAATCAACAATATCTCATTTTCCATATCCTCGCATCTTCTCAGCAGACTTTGAAACCAATTATTTATATACAAGGGATCGAAACTCGCGTCTTTTGGCAAGTAGCCCTCTGGAATGTTCAAGATAATTGATATCTGTTGGCACATAACTCTTAGAAGTTCTAAATTGTAGGCCGACCTTGGAGTAGCAGCGGAAAACCTTATTACTCTCAGTACCGGTTTGCCGAAGATTTCTTCGCTCTTAAAATATATATGCGTCAGTAAAGTGGTTTTTCCTGAAGCATCAGGACCGTATATTAAAACTGGCGGATGCCGAGTCCTGTTTTCATAGTTATCCTTAGCATTATTCAGAATATTCTTAGCGATATCTTCAATTTGTTTAACGGTTATTTTATACAAATGATTATGTTCTATACATATCCTAAGATGAGTGATGTGCTCCAAAAATACTTCCTGAAAGATAAACATAAGGTATAAAGGAGGTCAGTGTCTATTTAGTATGTTTTGATAAGGTTCTCTTAAACACTTTTACTGTATTACTATACAATACTGGCGATTGATTAATTTTTTTAATAGAGGAAGTAATCAACATTTTATATTCTTTATAATACGGTTTGATCTAAGATCAAAGTCATCATAAATTATAATGTTTCATCAATTGATTAAATACTTTTGAGATATAGATATTGAATTAAGAATTTTACAATCACTGTTCAAAAACAGGTTAGTTTTTAGTTTACCTGTACAGTCTTTTTTCTTCCCTTCCCCTGATCAGGTTCGGTACTGAGGCTATCGTCCACCAGGGAACACACCACGGCCTGCACCTGTTGCCTGAATGGACTTAATTTTTCGTCGTTGTCTGATGGCGCGTCTGTTCTTGATGATTCCGCTGATAATGATCTAAATGAAAAATTTACTTGAAAATTATTATAATATCGTCAGGATTATATTTAAAGTGACAAGTCCATTAAATTATCATATAAATATTTAATGAACTTAAGAAACGAACTTTACTAAATTGGCTTGGATCCAGGTGTTCTGAGTAATGGCCTTTGGTTAATGATATCTCAGCGTATTTTAGCTCAAGAACCAGGTTGTTGGCGACAGTGTAGCACTAATTTATTTATTGTTATAACATTTTACGTCTAACAAAGAGGGTTGACTTCAGGCAGGCGGCTGGCCATAAAACTATAAGCAAAATCTTTTTGTAATATGGATAAAAAACACATGGCGCCGACCCCAAATAATAATTGGGATAAGGGTAGGAAGATGATGATGATTTTACGTTTAACGTAACCTCCGTTTATGGGTGATCCTATTTTTTTTTATACCACTGAGGTAGCAAACCAGCGTACGGCCAAACTCATGGTAAGCAGTTATCGTAGCCTATAAACGTCTGTAATACCAAGGGCATTACGCACGCATTACTAACCCTGATGAAGTCTCTGTACCCCTGTTTTGAAGATCTTCATACTGTAGTCTCTCGAAAAAACCTAGACAGGGAGCCCATTTTATAACCTGAGCGTTTGTGGTAGAAAATATCTCTGAAACCGCGCTATGCGCAACCATCTAAGGTATGGAGGTGAACTTATTGGGAACATTGCATAGAAATAATGATTCATACTACTTACTCTAACTGAATGATATGGCTTTCAGGTAACGCGTCTTCTACCTTCCTTTTTAATTCTTTTAACCTAGCATACGCTAAAATAGATAGTCTCGAGTCGTCAGCCTCTGATTCTGGTATGTCTCTGTAGACAACAATCATTCCCTTCGGATGATTACCGGTGTTCAGCAACTCTGTAAAGTGTAGCTGGCATTGGTAAAACAATTAAAGCAACAATAGTTTTCTTTTATAATCCAAAGTTTTGACAAATATGTGATGGGAAACAGTTACCATAGGCTATGAACAGCTATTTACACAAGAGGCTTATGACACGAACATTGCTAACCCTCAAAAAATCTTTAATAACCCTTATTCAAAAACTCCATGCTATAGTATCTTAGCACAACCAGTAAGTGCACATGCACTCTTGCACTTTAAGTTAAGAAATATAAACGCTGAGTTTTTCTGGAATTGCCATTTTTGTCGTTATAAAATGATTTCACAAATATTAAAATGTACTTGAGATAATGTTATGCTACCTAAAGCAAATTATGCGGCTTCGCTTCCGCTAAATTTGATATTTGCAGTTTCTACGAGGATTCATAAATACTTTTAACGATCATATTACTGGCAAAGTTTTGTTAATTTGGGTTCCATCTTTCTACGTATTCATATATATTTAAGTACTTAAAAATTTTCTTCAAAAATTAAAAAGACTAAGAATTGAAACTGGGATCTCAACGTAACTATAATGTTTCGAAGATTCTTCAATTTACGTTATTTAATTTTATAAATATAAAGGAATTATTAGTAGGAAATATTTAAAAGTATAAAAACTGAACGGAAGAACAGAAACCAGCCTTTGCTTTCTATTTTTGTATGTTTCGGTTCTTAAAAGAAATATAATCATAGATAAAAATGTTTTCCTTATTCATCTTAATATAGTGAAATATGAAGTAAAAAGAACCAAAGATAATTCATTCATTCATTCATTTCAGCCATTATCAGTCCACTACTGGACATAGGCCTCTGAAGTTACTACCAAGTATTATTTATAAAGGAATTCTTAATACAAGAAATCGATCTTCCTAGTTCTAGTTATGTAAAGTTCATCGACATATAAGAATATTATATGAGACTGTAAGATCTGAAAGTTACAGGTTTTATTAAAGTCGTAAAACTCTTATATTATTGATATCAGTCATGTCGTGTCATAACTTTAATGATAAAAAAGGGTTGCTTTATGTAAATGAAAGAAATAGTTCGATAAGTTTTCGTAAATCAATTAGTGTTTTAACCACTGAAGATAAACATTTATTCTCGTATAAGTATATATATTATTTATATTTTATATATTATAAATCTTGCTAATATATAAAATTATAATTGGATGGTGTCTGTACATAGAAGATATTTAAGAAAAAATAACATAAGTGGTCTTAATAAGAGCAAAAGAACTGGCTTCTATCATTTTTAAACAATATTTTTTTAGAATTTTTGTCTGTCTGTTTGTATGTTTGTTCCGGCACCATAGAAAAATACTCCACCCAATTGGAAGCGGTTATCACAGCTGTATTTCAAAAACTCTGACTTAAAAGCTTATGTATATTTTATTTTGATACACCATCTAGAACTTGTCTACTTTTAGACGATTCCAAAATCCGCACATATGAAGTTACGGGGAAAACTCAATTTTAAATATTATATATATTTTATATAAAATTTCAAGCTACTGTTGGAAGTTTTAACTGATAAAATTTGGAATGATCAGATAATACGTGAGAACGTTCCGCGGCGTTGCGTTGATCTATTAATCACTGATCCTCCGTGTGATCAAGAGAAGCAAAATATAAATAAATAGCAATTTGATGTAATAGCATTTCGTTGCGAATGAGCAGCGATCATGGTTTAAAATTACTCTTACCCAATGCTAATTCACACTGGTACTCGACTGGACTCCGTAACAGATCGGCAACGTCTGCGCCGTTGTCTAGAGCTTCTAACGTTAAGGTGTTGAATACTTTTTGAACTTCACCAAGTCTGCTTCTTTCCGCATCCCTTTCGAGTAAGTCACTGAACCTAATAAAACACGATTTTGTTTCAAAAATAGTACAATTAATGGACGATTAATAATATGTAAACATCTCTATCATAATAAATATAACAGCAATAATTATATTAGTATTATAAAAGTAAAGGTTTGTGAAGGTTGTTAGGATTTTTTGTTAATTGATTAAACACTTAAATGGATTTCAATAAAACTGGATCCTAAATACATTAATATGGAATACTTTTATTCTTAGTCAATTAGTAGGTAAATATATGTCATAGTTGAATAGCGTGAATTTACTGGGTACAGAGGAATAACACCTGTCCTCAGGAATGGCAACGCATAGGAGGTATCATGGGCGAAACAGTACACTCAGTTATGTACATGTTACTGCTCATGTCTATAGGCGACGGTTACCACTTTCCATCAGATGGGCCGACAGCTTGTTTGCCACTCTAAGTTGTATAAAAAAAAAGTTAACAGTTGTAATTTAACCATTTCTAAAGTGTAAACTTTAGAAATAGTTAAATTATAATGAACATTTATGAAGTAAACAAATACGCAAATAAAAAAGTAAGTCATTCTTTGTCTTGATATTTACTTGACTATTTCTTTTATCAACCAAAACTACTGTCATTATATTTTCTTTATATTACTTCACTTGTTAACTTCGTAGAAACCTTTAGCAAGAAACTTGGACTTAAGGTATGTTTATTTTATATTAAAAATAGGAAAGAAAAGATGGTTATATTTGTTAGACATTTGCCTGCTTACTGTGTAAAAAAAGGCACAATGAATAGCAGCCCAAACCTTTGTGTAAAACATTTACGCGGTTGTCTGTTTAATCTTTCACTTAATGGATTTTATTTTTATCAGAAGAAAAATCTCAAGGAACATTTAATACACTTTGTGAATATATTATTACTAGTTAGATATTATATAAATGGTTAGATATTATACATAATAAAAATGGAAATATGAGGAATAAGAGCCATAGATTTACACTTACGTAACAAATATTTATATGTAATGTGGCAAGAGGTTCAATTAAATAAAACAGGCTGAATATGCCAAATGTGGGTAGTAATATAATTCAAGATATAACTATATAAAAAAGAAAACATGTTTTTTAAACACGGGTTACGTGATGTTACGTAAATACCGCCGCCCATGGATGCTCATGGCTCAATACCAGGTGACATGGATGCAATTTTGATGGTAATAAAGTTAATATGGGACTAACATGAGAGCGAGCTCTATCTATTACGAAAATATCTCGTTAAAATATCCAAAATAATACAAAAAAGAATATGTAAAAAAATTAAAAAATAAATTTTTTAGTCCTTTCAAAATCTTTAAACTAGTATCGTGATCGGCTTTCTCAATTCTACATAATTCATTAGATATATGTGGATTTAAGTTTTATCTTCTGTTTACGACGTAGATAAATCCTAACAGTAATTTTACAAGCATTGGTATTTAATATTTAATTACTCAGAAATTTTATCTAGCGATTATTGTCGTTGTATTCATTTGCTTATTGTATGCAAAGTAAACTATAACGTGGATTATTCCGTTTGAGTCCCTCGTCGTCGTAATAAAAGATAAAGTATAGGTCCTTCAGGCACCTACAGCGGTGTGAAAGGAAGCCCAAGAGAGCTTGATAAATTATTTATTTTACGATCCCACTGAGTAATCGGCCGGTACTCGTAAGGAAGAACGCTCGTAAACTCTTATAGCGTAATAGATAGGACGAATAAGTATGATCAAAGTCTTCTTGAAGTATTATCGGATAGTAACAGGTGAACCAGAAAAACTATAAAAAGGAAAGCCATCTAAAGGAAATGATGAAGTCGTTCGCAGATGCCCGGGTTTGAGAAAAGACTTAAATGTATATATATAGTATTCTACATAATCATATATTGGTGGATTTATCGTATTATTTGGGTTTCAATAGTTGTGAATATATGTACAAGATTAGATAGTGGTAGGTCTTTGAAATAGCAATATTAAGTGTAATATCATATCATCAATCAATCAATTAATTTGTACAGTTAAAACCAAAATCAAAATTTATATCTTGTGTAGATACAATATCACTTAATAATTGTTAATTTATTTTATAGAAAAGTGTTATTAAGTTAAACATATAATGGTATTTTTGCTCTACCCGAAAAACTATTATTTTCACAAACTTTTACATTTATAAAAAAACAATATTAATCGTACAATTACAAATTATAATAACATCGAATGTAAATTAAAAAAATACTTCTCGCATGATGTTAATACAAGTTAAATAGTCTCAGTGTATATAGCATTAATATAAACCTACATACGTGGTTTCTTAAAACTAATAGACCATGTTTTCTGTAATTCCGAATTATCGTAATAAATAAATAATAAATAATAATAAATAAATCTCTTTATTTTCAGGTATATACCCATAGTTAACATTTTTATATTATTAATTAAATAAATTGTTATTATTACTTTTAAAATATACATCAATTATAAAATACCAATTTAAATTATTTCGTTATAAAATCTCTTGTCGTCAGGTATGCTGTGAGAAATACAGTCTTTACAATATTATTACTTGTTGTCATTAATCTGTCATGAAATTTTGCCTTATAATTACGTAAAATAGCAAAAAAATCATTAACCCTGTTCTCTGCAAACATGCCAGACGCACTACACCGCCATGGCAAGTTGAGCATCGCTCGGAATGCGTTATTGTATTGCACACGCAGTGTGTTATAAGCCCTTTTCGTATAACTATACCATAACTGGGTGGTGTAGAAAGCCTGACAATAAGACTTAAACAATGTCAATTTGACTAGCTTCGAACAGTGGTTAAATCGTCTAGCCAGCATATTGCTTCTACATGCAATGTTACGCCTTTGTCTCTCCAGATCGCTATCATCTTTCAGATCTTCTGTCAACATATGTCCAAGATATTTAAATTTATTAACTATTTTTAAAGTATTCCCACATAAATTAATTTTTGGCAAAATTTCAGGTCCCTTTCCATATTTAAAAATAATAATTTCCGATTTATTGACATTATATGTTAAATGATGTATCTTTGCATATTGTTCACATATTTCAATTAGTTTTCTAAGACCATTGGCTGACGGACTCAGCAAGACCATGTCGTCCGCATAATAAATAAATAAAAAAAAAATAATAATAAAAATAAAAATAATCTCGGAACAGAACCTAGCCGACAGAGTTCGGTACATACAGCGCTCTGGTATGTTTAGCGCGACCGAACTCGAACGATTGCGAAGTGAAGTTGTTCCAGAAGCAAACTCCGCGACCGTAGAGCAACCCATCTCAGACGTGCTACCTAGCGTAGAGGTGGTTGCCGAAACGCTTTCAGAAGCGGATGCGGACGGAACAACTTCCCAGGATATAGAGCATATGAGGAGCATACTAGAGGAGGCGATTCTAGAGATCCGAAGAACTCCCCTCGAAGAGAGACCGAAGCTTCCCCGGATATATCCAAATGTGGCGACGCGGGATGCCATTGAGGCCACAAATGGACTGCTGCCTCAGTACCTTGAGGGCAGCGGTGACCTGGGAGAGACGAGTTCAATCCTGTTTGGCGCTGCGTTGGCAGTATGCCGATATACCGGCGCAAAAATGCCCCGGGCTGGACGTAATATCCAAAGGGATAATATGAAACCAGCCTGGAAAAGAAGGATTGAACGACGGATCGCCCAGGCCAGAGTCCTCATTGGTAGACTGCTCTGCTTCAGGGAGGGCAACACACGCCCGAGAATTATGCGCTCCGTAAAAGAGGCCTTTGCTGGGACAGGTGTACGTCTGTTCCAGCCGGACTTCGGGCACAAACTTACGGAGCGCATAGATGAACTGAAGCAGAAGATCGCTGCATGGGGGAAGCGACTCCGACGGTACTCTGAGAGGGTTGAGAGGTATCAACAGAATAGCCTCTTTATGAGTGATCAACGGAAGTTTTATAGGAACTTGGAGCGCCCAAAACTACAGCCCACAGGACAAAGACCCGAAACAGCCAATTTCGTCGCCTTCTGGAGACAGCTGTGGTCTGAACCTGTGGAACATGAGGAGGGCGCATGGATGCACGATGTTGAGGAAGCATGTGCTCGAATAACGCCGATGAACGCCATTGCCATTACGGAGGAAGACGTGGCTGCCGCGATCCGTCGGGCTCCGAACTGGAAAAGTCCGGGGATCGACGGATTGCAGCACTACTGGTTAAAGGCGTTCTCGGCCAGCCATGCGACCTTAGCCGTGCAATTCCAGAGTGCCCTCGAAAACAGGGCGCTCCCGAACTTCCTTACAACCGGGATCACTCATTTAGCTCCTAAGACGGACGATACCGCGGATCCATCTAAATATCGCCCCATCACTTGTCTTACGACAATATATAAGACGTTAACATCCGTTCTGAGCGCTAAGATCTCTCGTCATGTGTACGAGAATAAGATCCTATCTAGCGCTCAGAACGGATGCAGGGGCGGTAGCCGCGGATCGAAGGAGCTGCTCCTCATTGATGCTGTCGCTGGCCACGTGGTCAAGCGGAACCGTCGGAATTTCTCCGCCGCCTGGATAGATTATAAAAAGGCGTTCGATTCCGTGCCCCATTCATGGCTCCGGAGGATACTCGAGCTGTACAAGATCGACGGTACAGTTCGAGTGTTCTTGGAGGCATGCATGGGGCAATGGACGACGATCCTGACTATCCAGGGCGAGCGATTGACGGATACCGCTGACCGGATAGAGATAAAGAGGGGAATATTCCAGGGCGATTGTTTGAGTCCACTTTGGTTTTGCCTGTCCCTGAATCCACTCAGTACTTTACTGGAAAATTCGGGGACTGGATTTCAGTATCGGAGAGGAGGTACACGAGTGTCTCACCTTCTGTATATGGATGACTTGAAACTGCTAGCTCCGAGCCTCGAACGCCTGACGGAGCTGCTAAATATCGTAAACGATTATAGCAGCTCTATTAGGATGGCGCTCGGAATAGACAAGTGCGCGGTCCTCCATGTGCAGAGGGGACGGGTCACTCAAACTGAAGGGATCGCCACAGATCCCTCTAATATTAAAACCCTCTCCGAGGCTGAAACATACCGGTATCTGGGCATGTCACAAAACATCGGTGTGAAGGAGACGGATATGAAACAGTCAGTCCGCGAGGAATTTTTTGCGCGCCTTACAAGAGTACTGAAAAGTTCTTTGTCGGGCGCCAATAAAATCCGAGCTTATAACGGCTGGGTCATACCCGTACTCCTTTACACTTTTGGCGTGCTCAGATGGTCTCAAACCGAACTCGAAGCCCTGGATCGGAAAGTCCGCACAACTATGACCCTCCATAGAATGCATCACCCGAAATCGTCAGTCATGAGGCTGTATATCCCGCGGAAAGCTGGTGGTCGAGGCTTGTTAAGCGTTAAGACCATGCACAACCGCGAGATTGACAGCCTCAGGACATATTTTCTGGAGAAAAGAGACGAGGGTTTGCATAGAGAGGTCATAGAATGTGACAAAGGATTCACCCCTCTTTCTCTGGCTAAAGAGGACTGGCGAAAACCCGAAGTTTTGAGTACCTCTCAGCGGGAGGCCGTATGGAAAGAGAAGGAGTTGCACGGAAGGTTCTTCAAAGCCCTTCACGGGCCGTACGTAAACATGAAGACCTCCGTGCACTGGCTACAGTTCGGTGATCTCTTCGGAGAGACCGAGGGTTTTGTCTGTGCAATACAGGATCAGGTGGTTAAGACGAACAATTACCGAAAGCACATTCTGAAGGATGGCACTGAGGACATCTGTCGAGCATGTCGCCATCCTGGAGAGTCACTCAGACATGTGCTTTCGGGTTGTTCAGCTCTTGCCAACACAGAGTACTTGCACAGGCACAACCAGGTAGCCAAAATACTCCATCAAGAGCTAGCTCTGAAGTACGGCCTCGCGAATGAGAGGTTGCCGTACTATAAGTACGAGCCACAGCCGGTCCTCGAAAGCGACAGCGTCAGGCTCTACTGGGACCGATCCATCATCACGGACAGGACTGTTCTTGCGAACAAACCTGATATCGTGGTGATGGACCGAGCACTTTCGAGGGTGTTTTTGGTGGATGTCACCATACCGCATGACGAGAACCTCGTGAAAGCCGAAACCGAGAAGAAGAGAAAATATCTCGACCTGGCTCACGAGGTGACCGAAATGTGGGGGGTGACATCTACCGAAATCATCCCAATCGTTATGTCGGTGAACGGTCTTATCCCAACCAGTCTGGAACAACATCTCAGACGGTTGGGATTCCGAGGCGGCTCACTCCCGGGAAAGATGCAGAAAGCGGTGCTCTTAGATTCTGCCCGCATTGTACGCCGGTTTCTCTCCCTGGGGCCCTGAACCCCGGCCGACTGTGCTTCTGCCGGGGGTTAGTTGCCATCTCCTCTCCTTAAGAGGGGAGATGAGAATTTTGGTAAAATTTAAAAATAATAATAAATAAAAAAAAATATTAGTGAAACATAACTTTTTAATTATTAATCAGTGTTCTTACCAAGCATCATCTCCTTCTAAATGATAAGCCCCATCATCACTCAGTTTGTAGTGGCCTCGAATTAGTTTCGTTTGCTCTGTATCATTCTTGATCAGTTGTTCAAACTTGTCACTTGGAATGGAAAGTGGTAGCATAGGCTGGTAAGATGACGAGTCACCCCCAAGGAAACACTAAGAGAAATAAAATAAAATTATAAGGCTTATTACACTATGATAATACTTATATAAAACGTATTTTAATAAGTGATGTCTTCTTTTCCCCTTTTTATATAAAAAATGTTCACTATACATATATAATGTAATGTTAGATAATACTTTCTGAAGTAATACAACAACTCAGCAAACACAAAGCCATTAGATTTCCTTTAATAACTTTGCAGGATAAAGTGGCCAGCATTTAGCATAGTAAAAGCAAAATAAATCATTTTAATTTCTGTACCATTACGATGTTAAATTGTTTGTGTGTAACAAATGTAGGACGAATGAATAGCAACTACTACATTGATTATTAAAAAGACCTTTTTACAATGCACCAAAAGACATAGATGGTTGGAAGTAATACTACTTTGTAATGTTGGTTTCAAAGGGGTGACTTATTACTGTGAGAAAATGTAGACAACTTTTTACAACAACAAATTTTAACTCACATTTCAATCACTCTTTCTTAGTCATATCTTTGTGTAATTTATGTAAATTTTAATTTATATAAATGCGGTTATAATATTGTTAATAAAATTAGAGTTTTTACAAAACTCTAATTATCTTCAATACCATAATGACAATATTTCTGAACGTAATTTTATTAATGATAATGAAGTCTTTGTTTGTAAAGAAAAAAATTCAAAGAACGAGAATTCTAGTTCTAAATTCAAAATCATTTAGAACATTTCCGCTACAACATTTGCGCATAAAAATGCCGTAACTTTTCTACGACCAAGTTCTATAACGACTTTTGTATGGAAAATAGATTCGTGTTCAACTTTTAAGAACCCATAAAAGTTGTTTATTTTCATCAGTAATATTTTGTGATGTTTTAGGTATCTACTTACATAATTTATATTGAAGTAGCCGTCCATGTAAAACTTTACTTTTTATTAAAAACAAAAAAAAGGAGTCCTTAACTAATTATTTATTTAAAACTTTTAACACCAAAATTAGACTTGTCTACGAAATAATCGTGTATAAAATATTATATTTGTATGAATATAAAAATACCTACATTATTATTGGTTAAAATTATATGACATTTTGGAATCAGGGCGATTCCAAAATATATGTAAAAATATAATTTTTCCGATATGTTTTACGACATGTATGTTGGTTAAAGTAGTTTTCATTGAAAGTAGTGTATGAAAAAAAAAAACAATAAAAAACGTGTACTACTTATAATTTATTGAACATTTTATTGTAGTTATCGCGGACAAAAATGTAAGTAATACGTAACTTATACATAACCAACATAGTGAAAACAAATATAAAATCACGAAACTTATTCCAAAAAGGAAGTTTAAGTAACTTTATAAAATTACTTTTCTTTTTATCTAAACAAAGAGAAATTGTTTTCTTTCAGTATCCAAATTCCAAATAAAAGAGGTTCCGTTTTGTGCGTGTAAGGGAAAATGTTAAACGAATAAAGTTTAAATTGCCGTATAGTGGAATAATTTTTTGCCTTATTTATTAATTTGTTACAAAATCCACAGCTCTTAAAAACCATAATAATATTATAGTGTTATTTTTAGTACTTATAGTTAATTATGGATTTACAATATTTCTTCTTAAACAGTTAAGTATTCACAATGCTTAAGTTGTGTGTGTGTGTGTGTGTGTGTCTGCATGTTGCGTGCGTGCGTTCAGGTGTGTGCGCGTACTTACTAGTATAGAAATGGATATTTTAGAGTAAGATTTTACGTTTTCTATATTAGAATTACATGTATATATCACAAAAAAAAATAGAGAAAGTTAAGCGACGTTGTTTTAAACTAATATTCTGTAACATACAGATGCAAGTACAATTTTTGTTTCCTATCTGTAGATGAAATCATAGCCGTTGTTTAGGAACGTAATGAATTGCACCATCTATTTTTATTGAAAATAAGATATAAGAATATTTTTAATGCTTAGACTCCTAATTTATATGTATTTAAGAATGTCATCAAGAATTTTATTCCAATTATAATTTTTTACAAATCCATAATTTTATTTATCTATATTATTTGAACGTTTTCTTATTTAATATAAATGACTAGGGGATTTTTAAATTGATTATTTAATAAATATAAAATACTATCAAGCAAAATAGTAATAATTCACTTACAAGAAAATACCCCGCTTTCGATGTTTGGTTACAGCAGCGAATCTCGTTGAGGTAATACCGGTGCAGCGCTGGATTTGTTTCGTCTCCCCCATCGGTGCCGTAGTGCATATCCACGAATTCGATCTGTATATAAATAAATAAATCTTTAAAATATATTTTTAAGTTCTAAATAATTATCTTTGAATGGCAAAGAATTTGATGGCCAAGGTACCAAGGATATCACAGAATTCAATTAATGTTATTTAACTACATTTTACCCATGATTTCTGCGTAACTGGGATATGTTTGCTAACCAAGTTAAAAAAAGGCTATAAAGTACGTGTTTCCCAAATTTCGTAGTGATTGATTAAGCCGTCAAGGCGCTATAAGGTAATAAACAAACAAATTCACTTGCACATTTTTAATTTATTATTAAGGATTATTTAGAATACCAAATAAGTCTCTCGTTTTAAGAAAAAAAAGTTACTGGGTTTGCAAAATTGGGAGTGAATATATTTATATTATTATTATTTTTTTTAATTGGAAATTAACGACTTTACTGTGTTCTGCCGTTTCCGACAATTCTTTCCACTTAATCCGGAAGTCTTCTTCAGGGGGCGTATGGCGCTTTGCATAAGCGCAGTAAGTGAGTGATTAATTTCCCATTATATATGTATAAAACAACATACGAATATACTTGTAATGTCCCAAAATTACTGTAAACTCAAAATATGCAAAATCTTAGTTTTTAATCATTTTAATTAGGGTGATTAATTAAGTAATAATTTACATAATAATTTTGTTAAATCTGTTTATAAAAATACTGGAAGCAATCATAATTATAATCGAGAAAATATATAATATATACAAATTCTATTAGGCTCTTTCCTTGACTAACACGCGGAAAATTCGCTCATTGTATTTTGTGAGCATTGTTTTCCGCCCTCCTCTCGCCTACTAGGTTTTTACGTTGTCTCAACAAATTACTTTTAATGTATACCTAATGCTTTTATTTTATTTGTAAACCTGCGGGTAACTAGAAAAAAATGTTTTCAAAACATACTTTTAATTCTGTTATATGAATTTGAAGATTGTTAATATATTATTTACGTGTAACTATTTAAGTATGTACAAAATTAATACGTACTTATAGTGTTGTAATTATTATGGTAATTTTTTTTTATCTACAGATTCATCCATCGGGTTAAAAAATAAATAATATTTCTCTCTATCCCAGTTGTTACGTACATAGCAAATTTCATAGGGATGGCGCCAAGAGGTAACAAACAAACTAATAAAAAAATAAACTCACTTTCATTTATTCAATAATATTCATAAAGATTGTTTCATTTCATTTAGATGCACAGTATATTAATATAATTGATTTAATAACACAGAAGATAATAATGAAATGTATGTAAAATGTATAAATGATTTAACTGTATTATATACCTGTAAATATTTATTTACAGGATTTTAATAATTGGATTTGTTCTGGATTTAAATACATTGACACAAGAATTTATATAAATATTAATTTGGGATAATTTAATATTAGAATGTTAATAAATGTTAATAATATTAAAATTATAATGTAACGAATTCACTACGTTTGATGGATACTATACTTAAAACAAACTGTAACATCATATTATCTATATTTCTGGCAAATAAATTATTATTGGCTTTAAGCATTTGAATCTGTCCAATATATAGATCATCATCATATCAGCTTTTAACTGTCTACTGGTGAACATAAGCCTCCCCCTATACAGGGTTCCCTGTGCCAGTAGTTGTCACGCTTTGCAGGCGGATTAGCAACCGCAATTATTAAGCAGCAGGCTTTGGAGATATTTTAAGAGGGACGCTGCTGTCCATCCCTCGCCCTCCCTTAGTCGCCTCTTACGACACCCACGGAATAAGAAGGGGTGGCCTATTCTATGCCGAGACCACACGGAAGAATAATATAGATAAGTATAGTAAGCGTAAGAATTCTTATCTGTCTTCTTATACCTCTTATGATGCTAATAATCTTCTTTCCTTCAAACTTCAAACAATGACGCGCTTAAAAATATTTCGCAACAGAAATAAGTAAGGTGAAATTAATAAAACTAGTATTTAGACTAGCACTTTAAATGAATAAAGTTACGTACGGATAAATATGTGAAACAAATTCACCGAAAAAGGAATATTCTATTAAATCCTTAAAAAAAGAATACTCGTACCATATGACGTAATTAATCCACATAAACAAATTCCTACTAAAGGCTTCTGTTAGGAAATAATTGTATTACACGGATTTAATAGCTCTACAGGATTTAATAGATGTATAGGAACCGTGCAGTTTCCAGCATTTAGTTGCAGCCGACTGTGGAAGGTAATCATATCATCCTATTACGTCGAGCGTGGAGCAAATATCATGTAAGATTTTGCAAATCCAATAGAAACGACAAATTCCTATTTAATTCTACAATATACGGAAGGAAAGGACATATGTATTCTATATTATATATAGGGAATTAAGCTCAAGGATAACTATCCACTCATTAATAATCCCACTAGTTTTAGAAATACAAATCTTTGAATACATTTGACTATTTACATGTATATATTTGGCTGTTAGTTATTCGTTCATGTTGAATGAATTTTGACAATATTACAGGTAAACATAAATCTTAGATTTCACAGATTCAGTAAACACTCAAGAAAGCAAGGAGAAGTTCATAAAAAAAACTATAATAGATCAATTATATATATATATATACTATCATTTGAAATAATCGAAAGAAAAGCAAAAAGAATTACTAAAATAGGTTACGAAGATATCACGTAACATATACAGGAAAACATTGACGTAAGGAGAATTTTCCCTTTTCGAAGTCACTTAAAAACAAAGCGAAGGTGTCAAGTAAGTACCATATCGAAAGTCACCGGATAGCCTAGATGTGTACGACAAGTAAATACGATACCATTGATTCAGGATAGCAGTTTCCTTGTGGAGATTCTTTTTGGATATTAAGTGTGTTTTGAATTGACATTCTCTTTCTTTACTGTCTCTACATTTATTTTCAAAGGTGCTATTTACGTGTTTTGTTTCCCATAGTTGTATATATTTAATAATAATAATATACAAATATTATTATTATATATATAAAAAAACACATCTTGTCACTAAAGAAGGGGATTTAAACTCCGGCCGAAGTTCTATATGATCTTTCAAAAATTTTAAATTTAGTTTTATTACAAACGTATCAATTCAGTGAGAAGAAATATATATGTAGTTTTGATAATGTTTACCGTATATATGTCTGAACATTTTATCTAGATTAAATAGGAAAGATTAATTCAACATTAATAAAAATATATTATTATTTCCTTAATTCTTTAGGGTTTTTTTTATTAAACAAGAACCCTTAAGATATTTAAATTAGATTAAAAATATCATGTCTAAATTAAAACTTTTCTAGTATTATAAATAAAACAAGAGTGAATTCGTTTGTTTTTCGTCACTTAATCCTCATAAGGTTTAGCATAAACTATAGGTATGTGTCTATAAATATAGAAATAATGTTAAAATTGTATATCCTTAATTGAATTGATAAAAACATCGCGTTTTATTTACGAAAAAGTACAAGTTACAGCGTGGCCTATTTCCAAAGTGTATTAATACAAGACACGAAATGTACTATGGTCACGCGATTTTTTTCATGGTGGGATCGAGGATCTTGTAATTACTTATTACTATTTATAACATACAAGTTAAAAGAACAAAGGCGTATAATTATTTCGCTATAGATTTATATGGGTTGGTATATAGATACGTATCGACTATTTTACGATGCAATTATGTCGTAAAATATGAAGGATGCTTCTGTTTTACATCGAGTGGCTTTTATGATTAGATCTACTTTGTTAATTTAATTTATACTAGTATAAGCTTGTGCTTACTCGCGTGGAAATAATTTCATCTTGATTCCATATAAATTTTTAAAACTCCTTCTAAGTAGAAGATATTGACATCTCATAAGTAATTACCTTGTGAAATACTTTTTCTAATTTAGTTAATATAGTCGTACCGAGATTTTCTTTTTATTTCACAGAAGTAACGTTCGTGTTTATATTATTTTTAATGTAATTATGCGTAGGTGTCATGTAGATTAAATTAGAAAATTAAATGAAATTGCAATTTGTTATTTGCAAATTAATTTTGAGACAACACCTACCGATGGAATATTAAGAAAAATATAATTTTCAGCTCTTAATTTTGATTATATAGAGCGTCGCGTTTGACGTATTTTTTTCTCTGACATTTTATTGTTCCTAAAAAAAATAATTTTGAATCAAGTGTTACTGGTTATAAAGAAATTTAATAATAGTATTTTTATTTATATCAAATTTCTTATGAAGGTTTGTATTTGTGTTTAAACTAATTGATTATTCTTATTGACAATGTGGAAGTTTGTTTATTAGGTCTTGGTGTTTTTAGAATTATTGTTATTAATAATATTATTACTTGTTTATCATTAATGGTCTTCTATCTAGTGTATTCGTAGCTATTTATATTCTATACATTGCAGCACGGTATGGGTGATAGTTGATATTCTGTCAGTTTTAACTGACAGAGACATGAGGAGTGCATTAAGTGTAATTTATGAACTTAAATCTAATGGTTCAACATATAAGCAAATATAATCGATTCCTTTTTATAATAGAATATTATTTTATATGTATTGTTGGTATCGTAAGTTACGTTTTATGAGTAGTATATATTTTTACGCGAGTCGACCTCCTTCCGAATGGCTCGACGACGCCTTAAAGACAGTGGGGAAAAAAATGGGTGCAACAAGCAGGAAACCACATAAGATGAACAACAGGACAATATATCGAAATAGGCAGATATTGAATAAATTTTTTTTCTACAGTTATAATGACTTGCCACCCGCACCGCACTACAACGCTCAAAATGTAAGTTCTAACATAGATCAAGACAATGTCTGTCAACTCAACAAAGTTCCTAAGTTATAATAAAGCACCCAGAATACTAAAACTCAAAGTTGTCGCATATCACATAACTTCGCAACTTGTCCCTTTTCGTGCCATATGTGTAAATGTCATATAAAGTTAGCGACAGAAGAGTAATACTTTATTTGTTAGTGAATGTCTTGTTTATATATTAGTTACAATTTCGTTATGAGAGAAAAGGTCAGATTCATTTTACAGTTCTCAGTGCTTCAAATTTACGAGTGTAAAGTAAATTAACCGCTGTCTTACAATTTGGAGCAAGAACAATAATTATATAATATATAATAGTGTTATATCACAATTTTGTTTAATTATATTCTCCATTGTCGTATGGTCTCAGCATGGAATGGGCCATCCCTTCCTTTCCCGTGGGTGTTGAAAGAGACGACTTAGGAAATTTAATAGTCGAGGGATGGGCAACAGCGTCCATCTTTAAACATAATTAGTCTATCTGTGGTTGCCTACCCGTCTGCCAAGCGTAGGAACTATGGGCAAAATCCCTTAATAGGGAGAGGCTATAAAGAATATGATATGGTATATTATCCTATTAAAATTATTTATTTATCGATACATAGTACCTCTATGCAAATATTGCTAGTTCAATCAAGGTGTGTTCATTCTAACTAGTAAATGATACAACAAATGGTTAATTAATTTTGATGAAGTTCCCAACATATCTTCATCTTGAAATTGATGTTCAAATACTCTTATTCTTTATAATTAATTCCCTATAATAATAATAATAATAGCCTTTATTAACAATCTTACAATGTATTTATATAATTTAGTTATTTGTTTGACACCGGTACGTGAAGATTGTCTTGCTGTCCAGCATAGGCCTCCCCTAGAGTTCGCCACTGAATGCGATTCTGCGCTTGTCTTTTCCAGGTGTGTCCCGCTATTTTTTTGATATCGTCTTCCCATCTACGACGCTGTCTCCCTTTTTTTCTCTTATATTGTCTCGGACACCACTCTGTAATATCCTTAGACCATTTTTCTTTATTTATTCTAACTATATGTCCTGCCCACCTCCATTTTAGTTTCTTGATACAGTAAGTAACATCCGTGAATTCAGTTTTCTTCCTTATAGTGTCCAGTTTTACTTTATCTTTTAATTTGATGTTCAGTATACTTCGTTCCATACTGTGTTGGCAAGTTTCTAACTTATGTATGTTATGATTAGTTAAGCTCCAGGTTTGGCATCCATATGTCATAACAGGCAAAATACAAGAATTAAATATTTTGCTCTTCGCTTTCAGTGGTATGAGAGGGTTTTTCATTACCTCCTTAAGAGACCAGTATCTTTTCCATGCCAGCGTAACTCTGTTGTTAATTTCTTTTGTTGTTAGGTCTTTTGGAGATATGATCTGACCGAGATATGTGTATTCCTCCACATATTCCACTGTTTTACCGTTAACCGTTATAGGGAAGCTTTCCGAATTTAACATTATTTTGGTTTTCGTAGTGTTCATTGATAGCCCTACTTTATCACTTTCATGCACCAGTTGGTCTAACATCTTTTGTAAACTTTTTGGATCAACGGAAATCAATATTAGATCATCTGCAAACCTTAAGTGGTTTAATCGCACACCGTTGATAATCAAACCATAGTTTTCCCAGTCCAGGCATCTAAACACGTGTTCGAGAACAGCTGAGAATAGTTTGGGTGACAAAGGATCACCTTGTCTTACACCTCTTTTTATCGGAAAAGATTCACCATCTCTTTCTGTTCTTATTTTTACTTTCATGTTCTTATATATATTGATGATCAGTCGAATATACTTTTTCTCCACTCCTTGTGTTTCTAGAGCTTCCCAAATTTTTATGTGTTTTAAGGAATCGAATGCTTTATTATAATCTACGAACGCAAGGTAAAAGGTAATATTATATTCACTGCATTTCTGGATTACTTGTTTTATAGTGTGAATATGATCTATTGTTGAGAACTCACTACGAAAACCTGCTTGTTCTTTAGGTTGGTTTTCATCCAAAGTCTTTGTTAAACGATCTAACAGTATTTTTGAAAATATTTTGTACATATTGGACATCAAGCTGATGGGTCTGTAATTGGTTATATCATCTTTCTTCCCTTTTTTGTGTAGTAATATAATAATTGATGTAGTCCACTAATGAGGTATATATTCTGTGCGCAAAATTTCGTTAAATATCTCTGTGATAGTGTTTAACGTTACTTTGGATGATCCCGTTAGCAATTCATTAGATATTAAATCTTCTCCAGGCGTTTTTCCTTTCTTCTGTGATTTGATAGCCTTATTGACTTTATCTTGTAGTATGCAGGGGGTCACATCCTCTACAGTTTTAGTGCAGTTTATTAACTGGTTGGATTCCTCTATTGTTGCGTTTTCATTGTATAGTTCGCGATAATATTCCGTTGCTACTTCTAATATTTCAATTCTATTAGTTTTATTTTTCTTGTTTCTGTGGTGTTTCATGTTATCTATCCAAGTTAAATTGTCTCTTAATTCGATCTCCGCTTTCTTAATTCCGCCTGATTTTTCTATATAATAACTCATTGTTTCAGTTCTTAGTCTCTCTCTGTGTTTTCGTATTTGCAGGTTTATTTCTTTGCTCAGAATTGTTATTTCTTTTCTATTATTTTTTCTGTCTTTAAATAAGGGTTTTCTTTGCATGATTAACTTCCTTGCTTCTGAACCTAATTTGTCTTTTTCCTTTCTTATTGTTCTCATTTTACTTTCAATTTCTCTTAATTCCCTATAGATGATAGTTAAGTATTTAATGCTAAACTATGATTCAATACTTAAAATTTAATTTTACGATTTAGTATATATTATTCAGTAAAATACATAGGGAATAATGTATAAAATTATTCATTTATCAAATACTTTATTTAAATACTTAATTAAAACAATATATTATGTTAAAGCACAGATAACAACAACCATTATTGCCAACTGCTAAAATGGAAGCAGCTGTGCACAGATAAATTTGATGCGGTCTCTGTAAAGGAACGTTGTCTGTGCAAGCTTTTATCTCCGTATACCATGTTACCGTAAATTGAGTAAATTATGATGGAGCAATTTAATCGCAAAGCACTTACAACACGATTATAGCGTTTTAGCTTTAACAATAAAAATATTCCTACATAATAGTTAACTCGATAAGCAATGAATAATCTGTTTAGGAAATGAAATTTTAATAGATATCTGTTCGCCAAAACCTAGTTTAACTGTTGTTTAATGCACTTTCGTATTTCTGTGCTTTTATTCTAGACTTGTTGGTAAAGAACCGGTTTTTCATTTAAAAATAGACTAAAAACTGACTAGGTAATGATTCTTTTATATCTATTTACTAAGTACTCAACAAATTATAAAACATAATCAATTATGTTAAAGAAAATCAATATTTTTGCATACTTACCTAATCTCAATACAATAGTTATTACTACCAGTAACATTACCATAGAACAAATAATTCTTCTTTACCTCTTTTTCTTAGTAGCAATCGATCCATTTTTACAACCGTTTCGGCCAGCATCAATTATTATTTTTCTACAAGTAATATTCAAAGCATACCACAATCATAACAAACTACAGCTCTTTAATTTAAACTATTTCTCATCAGCTCACCGTTCCCGCCTTTTTCCGTCAGTTTTTTTTTTATTCATTTATTCGAGCAAACAATTCACTAGGTACGTTTTTTAAGAGTTAACACTGATTGATATTGCCGGAACTAAAAAATGTATCTATGTAACCTTCTCGGTGTATCAATACAATATCTAAATAAATGTTCATAGTCTCGTATAACTATTTATAATATACCTCTTTATTCTCGATATCCATGTATATTTATATATGAATATCATTATCATAACATACCTAGCTATTTTATAATGTAAAAATTGCAAATTTAATGAAGTGGTTGCATAGATATTATTTCAATGATTTTTATTCGAAGTGGCATACTTGAAGAATATTCCACCAAATAACTATGTATTTAATTTTAATACAGATTATAATTTATATTAGAAATAGGTAGGTATTTTTATAAACGGCCAGTATGATTTAAAGTAAAATATAATTTTGAATTAAATATTTTGTAAGATCATTGAAAATTGTACAAAAGAAAATATTTCTTAATAAACACTTTATACTTATATATAAGTGTTGAAAGTATAAGGAGATCATAAGTTGTTTTTTACTACTGTCTCAATACATTTCTATAGTTAATTACTTTTTTAATATTGTATAAAGAATTGGAAACTCTATAGTAGCGACATAGATTATAATGGCGAACACACTACGCAATTAGCATAAATAAATTTACTTCACGACTTTAATTTCAGAGTCAATTAATTATATTAATAATAATGTTAATGAATTAGTCAATGGTATTAAGTATAGGTAAACCTTTAATTTATTAATGCATGAATGAAATTAAAACATTCGTGGTCTGTGCTATTTTTAATGAAATTAGTATCATGCAATTAAGCATGCAACTAATATCATCACACATAAGGCGAAGTAAAACTAGTGTTGCTATAGATTTGATCTTATATTTTAGTTATTACTATAAATGTGATCTATATATTCTCGGTTATCGAATTTATTTATGCTTAGTTTTAATAAAATTATTTTTGCCATTCATGAAACTTAATATACCTACTCATATCAGCCGTTAACTGTTCACTGTTAAATATAGGTCTATAAACTGCCATAAGGAACATTCCAGAACCACCCGCATCAATATATTCAGTTTAAAATAATATATGACCTTACCTCAATGTATCGATCATCATAAGTGGATTGTAACTCCGGCCCCACCATCTCCAGGATTTGTCGCCTTTCTTCGCGAAAGTCTGCAAATAGATTAAAACTTTTAATAGTTTTATTAAAATATACTTTCTTTCTTATTTATATTATAAAAGTAAAAGTGAGTTTATTTGTTCATTACCTCTTGGTGCTTTAATGTCTCAAAGAATCGTCATGAAATTTGATATACACACATTATTTGATATGGAGAAGTCTACTGTTCATCCTGGTCATTCACTATATCCTGGTCATGTGGACTAAATAAAAAAATCTAACTGGAATAAAAATTATTGACTTCTGTATTTTAAATACTTGCTGTATTCTGCGGTACCACTTTTGTGAATCGGTGTGTAAAGTAAGGATATTTAAGCATATATTTAAGCATAGGAGTGCTAAGTTAAGGTATAACCTACTCTTGTACTAAATTTCATTTAAATTCGTTTAGTAGTTTTTACGTGAAAGAGTAACTAAAATCTATGCAAACTGAAAATGCATTATCATTACAAACTTTCGCATTTATTATATTATTGAGACAAATTATTATATAAACAACTTATAATTTATTCATTTCAAATGAGTACTTCGTGTTCCTACGCCATATTTCATAATAATTAGTTAAGTCCTTAAAATGACAAGAGGTGACAAATAAAAAACAAATTCATTTTCACACATTATAATAATTATGTGTGAAAATAAGTTTATAAAATATATCGTATGTATAATTGGTATACATTAAAAGGTATTCTATATTTTTGTATGTTTGGATTATGTTCCGACGAGGTACACTTTCACGTTCATGAATAAAAACGAAAATAATCGCGTAGCGTTTCAGTAGAGGCGTGTAATATATAGCATTATCGTAGTTACAATATTTATAACGAATATGGTAAATATGTTGTTCATTATATATGTCGAAATTAAGATCCGGTCAAAATTAATATAGATATCCGACCGGAATGGGCGATATTGAAATGACCTTTTTTTCGCCGTCAATACCCAGAGAAACCCAATATATAGATATCGAAGCGATACTGATTTTACCCATGCCTATCTTGAAGCACTGACGAATCCAGTGATATAAATTGTCGTAGGAATTTTAGTGTTTGGAAACTTAATGCTTCAGCGCTTACAAATCAAGTGAACAATTTAGCGCTGTAGCTCACGTACAATTGTAAATAGATGCTTCGTAGATTTTAACAACGCGAGATCTTCGCCACTTGTAGCTCGGTTAGATATAGCTTTGCAGCGCTTGAAGCACTAAATATTCTACAGACATATCTTGTCAATGGACTCTTCAGTGCTTAGAAGCTTAGTGCTTCAGCTCTTACAAATCAAGTGTAAATGAATACTTGAGCGCTATAAATGGATGCTACGTAGATTTTAACAACACCAAATCTCGGGCATTCATCGCTTGGTTAGGTATAGCCTTATAGCACTTGAAGTGCTGAATATTCTAGAGACTTTAGTGCTTCAACGTGAATAATTAAGCGCTGAAGCGCTGACATACCATTGTAAACGGATGCAACGTATATCTTGACAGCGCGAGGTCCCGGCCACTTGTCACTTAGTTGGGTATAGCCCTGCAGCGCTTGAAGCACTGAAGGCTCCGGTGCGCTCATAACGCCCACCCACTCGCCTCACCCCGCACTCGTTTTTCCACGCCACGGAACCATTCTGTGGACAAAAATATATAAAAATAAGGATACTATGCCATAATATGCATTCTACACACGTTTGTAATAAAAGATGTGTTGTACTTTAAGGATTACAATATTGGCCTGTACTTTTTTATAAAATAACTAAGATAAGAACTATTATGCTATAATTTGTTATTTTTAAGATATTTGCGGTACAATAAAAACCTGAACAAACGATCGTCATTTTGTCCGTGAATAGAGTTTTTCTTTGTGTAAGCGGTGTACCTTATAGCTCAACATGTATGCCTTGTAATATGCAATTTAGGGAGGGAGGGCAAGGGGGGGGGGTTGTTATTGATGAGGATGCCAGAGAATTCTCATAGCAGACAAAATGTTTTTACAAAAATAGAAAATGTATATTGTGTATAGATATTCTATTTTTAATTAGTATACCAAAATATAATGCTTGTGTTTCACTTGTTTACAGCTCAAATCAAGTTACTAATTGAAAATGTTGTCAACTTTATTCTTAACCCTTTTAATTCTTTGAAATCCGTTCAATCGTGGTGTGGTAAGTGTGATTGGAAATTAGGATAAAAAATATTTTCTGTGTTTTCTAATTTTGGCTGTAGTCAATCTGTGTAACCAAGTTTATTTCGTATTTAATTTAATGTGATTGACGAACTTTCTAACATTTAATTTTATAACAATAATAGCTGTACTCCACAACTTTTCTCGTAGTCGTATCGTGGTCTATTAAACAGCCTTCCTCAAGAAATGAGCGCCCAAATGTAAAAAAAAAATTTAATCTTACTTGTAATATTGGTATAGACATAAAATATTGTTAGGTAATAAGAAAAACATATTTAATAGAATTTTGTGATTGAACCTTAATACGAAAATTATAACTCTCCAAATCGGCCGTTTCTTTACAGAATATTTCTAGTTTCTTTTGTGATTTATTTTTAGCTTTGCTGATAGTTGGGTTGGCGGTCGGGAGTGACCGTTTTCTCGCGGTGACTTCCTTTCAATTGCAAAAATTTCGTCGAGTTTGGTATAAAACATATATCATTGCTAGACTGAAAGGAAATATTGTGAAATTTTATTTACGTTATTTCTAATATTGTATCGCAAAAATTATAAATGGTGAATTTAGAATTCTGCAGTATTTAGATTTTTATATATAATATATTGGGAAAATAAGTATAGGTACCTATATTGTAGGTATATTTATTAATTAATTTAGGGCAAATGTGAATAGGCTATTCGTGGGCCCACGAGTCCCATCTAATCGTCGTCGTCGTAATCAATCGCGGGACCCTTCAATAATAAAAGAAATTAATGAAATAATTTCTAGTAGGTTTTTCTTTTGTATTCTTTATTGTATACAAAGATTATCTTTAGTTAGTTTAGTTAAGAACAATTAATTTTAAACATAATGTAAAAAGATAGGTTAGTTAAAAGACATTTGTTTATGTGTAATTCGTTTGTTGTGGTAAACATAACACTTGACATGTCTACATTTCGTTCAGTATGTTAGTATCTAAGTGGTAGAGAATTATATTGTTATTTAATACTAGCAGTTACCCGTGAACTCGTTCGTATGACCGGGATATGTTGACTGACCATGCTAAGTAGCTTATGTCTTTTACCATCCCATATATAGGGAGACTTTGTATAAAAGTCGATTGCTTGGGTACCTCTGTCCCATTCGTGTTTCAACCGTAAAGCAGTTGTGTTTGCATGGCTGTGTTTCGGTTTGAAGGGTGGGATATGGCGTGAATTTACTGGGTACGGAGGAAGAACACCTGAGTCCTCAGGAATGGCAACGCATGGGGGCTATCATGGGCGAAACAGTATACTCTGTTATGCCCATGGTACTGCTCATGTTTATAGGCGACGGTTACCACTTTCCATCAGATGGGCCGTCAGCTTGTTTGCCATTCTAAGTTGTATTATAAAAAAAAAGTGCCTGTGTACCAAATTTTATAATGATTGGTGGACTCGTTAAAACGTTTAGAGAAAGCCTAAGTTCCGCAGTAGACAGTTGATGGTTAATTATGATGATGGCAATGATGAATAATTTATTTATAGGATCACCAACATAAGATACAGCGAAACGTTTCAATACAATACACTGGTAGATTAGATAACTAACTAACTAACTGTTCTTACATTTATAGTACCCCAACATGCTTTGTGTTTGATAAACATTACAATGGAATTAAATTGTTAAATGTCATTAAATGAATAAAGATATTAACAATATAAGTAAATGACAAAAAATGTGATTAAATTATTTTAAATTATAAATAAATATAATGTAATGGCGAAGTACATCAACTTTTTAATTTAGCCATGAACACAGAGTGACTATCGTTGTGAATATCACGTTCAGGCTTGGTTTTTACAATATCGTTATACAGGCATAATAAAATAATAATATAGTAATTCTGTATTAAAAAGCGTTCTTATAATTATATTCGGAAAACTTGTTATGTATCTACTATGAGAAAATTAACGTACCCTTAACAACACGACCCGAGATAGGAGTTTCTAATCAAAGGCAACTGGATGCTGTCCGTTATACGCCCTTTTATAGCTACATATATCCGAGCGTTCGTGAAGATTTATCAGAGACTCTTAGCACCGTAATGGTGGTAAAACATGCGTATTTAGCGCGTAACGTGATAGATTGATGAGGAAGATAAATCCTGATAACGGTGGGGTATAAACTTAGCTAATAACTGTAGATAAAGAAAGCGATGATTCTTTCAGACATTCGTAAATTTTTTAGTAAACAAAAGTTGTAGCTTCAAATATAATAAAATTAATATGGGACAAAAGAACAAATCATATGAACTGATTCTGAAACTATTACAATATAGCAACAGATTATAATATAAATACTATATATTATTAATATTTCCGTGTATAATATCTTATATATGTGTGAGTATAATAGATAATTATATTTATTTGCATATATATTTAAATTTTAGTATTACATACATACTAAAATTTAAATATATAAGCAAATAAATATAATTATCAATAATTACTAGTACTGCATTCAAGTATTCTGGCACTTCCCTAAGGTCTTGGGATAAGGGTAGGAAGATGATGACTTTACTAATAGTATAATATGAAAGTGAATTTGTTTGTTACCTCATATCTCTTTAACGGCTTAACTAATCAACTTTAGTATACGCGTACTACACGGGGTGAAGAAAGATGTAAGCTCATTATTATCCCGGTTAATGAATATATACAGAAGACGAAAGAGTCACAGGAAATATATATAAATATTTAATAAAAAATATTTTTAGATTTTGTCGGTGTTCAAAACTAACCTTTTTACATACATTGACAATTGTAGTTTTTTATAAAAAAGAAAGTTGATAAACAAATGAATTTAAAACATTATATATTACATCAAGTCAACAGACGAGATTTTCACTTACAATTAATATTATTAATAAATAAAAATATATAACAAGAACCAGCATATTTTATAAACACTCCATATTGTTTATACTACCTAAATATAAACAAAATTAATGGCCATGGTAAAATCAGACAATGCCAAAATACCAGTAAATATACTGATTTAAAATTTAAAGCATCCCTGTTATTAAGAAGTAACTTGTAGATCATTAAAACTTTAGTGCCTATCTATCTACTTCTTCTAAATGAGTTGCTTTCAAGACAATTTACCCTTTCTTTGAATTAATTTAATTCGCGGTAGCTTATCTTATAAGGGAAGGTAGCTTATATTATATTTCATTATCGAAGTCGTCAGTTTTTTCAAGCGGCTGCCGTTTTATAAAATGGCGCGTCAATTAACATTAAGGTTTATCATATTTTTGATATTAATAATATATAAAATGCAGCCAATTATTTGATAATTAAAAAAGAACGATAAACTCCTCCAAAGTATTTTCGAGAAATAATGTGGTAAGACAGTAAAGATCAAATGAGAGAGATTGCATCTACCATTATGTTTGGTAGGCACATGTATAGTAAAATGTGCCACAAAAACAATGCTAAAAAAAACTATGATTTCAAAATTATGAAAATCAGGTACATATTACGATAAAAAAGAGTCCTATAAATCGGTTCACAATTGACGTATATTTCGCATAATACGGACACAAAGAAATATCGCAATGTAAAGAACTCCACTTAAACTGTGAAAACAATACAAAAGCTAACAAACACCTCCATTTTTAAGTCAATTATGATAATTGTTGCTTATACCTAAAAAGTAGTAGAAATATGAATAGAATTAGAATACTGTCGACGTTATATATTGGGTGTGATTCTTGTGAATTATTCACGGTACGAATTGAGCTCGATAAATTCATGGCCACGAATAGACGTTTGGGGGAGACTAAATTATAATCGTTTACGTAGTCTTTTCATATTTCTTAATCGCTGAAAATGAATTGTGACGGTATATATCCATTACATGTATTATTATACGGTCATGGTCACAAGTAGACAGTAACTACTGTTGGTACAGTGTAAACTTTGTTTTAACGTCTGGAAAATGCTTTATGCAGATCCATACACCATGTGGGAGGTGAATGGGTACTGTGAGAATCCCTCCGTAAGGCGGGAGTGTACCCACCAAAAACTAGATGATATACCCATCTTCGCACTTACCACATCTCCGACGGTGGTACAGTGTAACCTGGACATACGTAAAGATAATTCAAGTAAACTCTTACAGCTTACCTAATAATTCAGATTTCTTATAAAACAAAACATGTACTGCGAAAGTCTAAAAGTTAATCTGCATTGAAAGTGATTATAGTTGGTACATACTTTTTTTATAATACAGGAGCCAAATGAACATACAGCTCACCTGCTGGTAAGTGATTACCGCCGCTCAGAGCACCCGCAATACTAGAGGCATTGCTGGTATGCTGCCGGCCTTTTAAAAAGGAATATGCTCTTTTCTTGAAGGTTACGATGTCGTATCAGTTCAGAAATACTGCTGCTGCTGCTGGACGTTGATTCCAAAACGTGGCC